TGAATAGTGTCTCAAGGACAAATGTTAGTATTGTTTAAGTGCTATGCAACTAGGAAGTGAATATGGGATTCCATTGAGGAATAATGGAAAAGATTTAACTCTGGTTTCGAGATCTTAGGCATGGGATAGTTGTATTGTATGTTTTGACGAGGTAAGAATTAAATTGAATGATGTTATGGAGTTGTCTACCTAGTATAGATGTTATGAAAAGATCAAGAGCTTGTATGCTGATTGATGATTATGGTATTTGGTGTCGTATTGCTTTTACCTTGTTAGGGTTATATGATTAAAGCATGATTGGGATTTTTGGAGTAAGTATGTGACTGTTTAGCCGTTGTGGTTACGTAGAACGATTGATTGATAGTGAATGGATCTCATTGTAGTTTTATGGATTGTGTGAGATTATGTTTGAGGTTTGGACCTGAGGACAGGAACGACCTCAGTGTTGAGATCAGATCGATGATGGGAATGGCCCGACTAACCATTTCTCCTGAATCAATCCCTCTTAGCACGATGTCGAGTCAAAGGTCAATGATTGTTTAAATTTGTCAAGGATAGTGAAAGCATGGTATTGCACGTTGTGTCAGTGTGACAGTGTGGACTCGGGTTACGAGGTGTGTTGGTAGGACCAAGTGTCCAACAAAGGGGTTTGTGGTACAATCGTTAATTATTGAAAATCTTGTTTTGAGGATTTGAGTCCTGGGTATAGGATAATACGCTTTATTGTTTTGGTGACTTATGATTATGTAGTCATTGGGAGATCTATCGTTTAGTCATCTTGAAGTTGTTTAGTATGATGATTGTCACATAGTGCGGTTAGTGGTCGCTGTTGCGGTTATGTGATGGGATGGTATAGCTATGCAGTAGATAGCGAGTGCTTGGTTTAACAAGGATGTGTAGGTTTGAATTTGAGCTTGATTGTGTGATGAACGGGGTTCTAGTCTGGGGTTTTGTGTGTCCTTTAAAGGATGAGTGGAGTTTGGATGTTGTCATATTCAGTGGTCTGATAACTATTCTTCTTCGGGTTTTGGAGACTTTTGTGGTAGTGTAGAGTGGACCGATGTCCGTTTTGAGTCGGGTATAGTGTAAAATGTATCAGTTGGTTTTGTATTCTGATGTTGTGAGTGATGATCGAGTACACTCATAAGGTGGTGAACATTGTGATTTAGTGGCAGTGGTATGTGATTGCCTGTTGACGTCCAGTGACAAGGCAATGAGGTTAGTGAGCTCTTAGTCTTGTAGTTTTGTGGGGTGTTTCTTAAAAAGGCGTGTGGCCGTGAATTTTCTTTTAAGGAGGGTAGATTTCGAGGACGGAATCTTTTTAAGGAAGGTAGATTGTAATATTTCTTATTTTTTTATTTTTCTGATGGGCCCCACTTTGACTTGTCGTTATAATGACCAATGGTCATTTTGTAGACCATCTTTAATCTCTCTCTCTAGCGCAATATCTCTCTCCCTCTGTCTTCTTTTTCTTTTTCTTTTTTCTTTGAGCTTTATTATTCTCTTCCATTTTTCGGCCAAACAGTAGGGTTTCCGGTTTTGATTCCTTGATAGAAAACGTTCATCTCGTCGTTCTCTATCACATAGTCAAAGGATTTAATTTTTGGAGGAGCGGTGATTATTTTACGAATTTTTGAAAAATTTTCCGATCTAAGGCTTCGGATGAGGTTTTGAGCCACTTGAAGTTGGATTCCGGAGCTCACCCTTTGGAACAGCAGAATCACCTCGTCAACGGCTACGTTCCCACCGAACAGTTTTTCGTTCCGCCGCCGTTGACCGGCGTTGACTTTTGTTGACCAGCGTTGACTTTTCCGGCCGGGGATATATTTTAGCTACTTTTGAGGTAAGGGTGCTCTAATTCACAATTTCTTAGGTTCTATGTGAATTTTCCTTCTTAAATTGAGTATAAGCATGTTTAATTTCAATTATTTTGACTATGTGATTGTGGTAGATTATATGTAAAGTGGTGGATGTATGCTATGTGATAAATGAGTTTGTAAATTTAGTTACATACTTGTAGTGAAGAAGCATGCTTAGAAATGACAAGTTGTTTACTTTATATATTTCAATTGCCATGGAAATTTGATGTCATGATCGTAGAAATAAATATTTAAAATATTCTTTTACAAGTTGTGATTATGATATGGGTAAAATGTATGGAATATAGTTGTTGAATTTGGCATTTGGAATCATAAAGCATTTATGCATCCATTGGGAAAGAAAAAGGGAAAAAGTATATTTTTTAAAACCAATGAAATTGTTTCGGAGAAAAGTTTTTGAAAATTGTTTGTGAAAACCCGGACGCCTAGGAGGCGCCTAGTGGTCCGTAGTGTTAGTGTGGTTTAGAGAGGGGACTAGGGAGAGACCCTGTGTGGTTGAGCTAACCAGGCCGGATGTGACGCCTTGGAGGTGCCTTGTGGTCGTGGATGGTTAGCCAATCCCCCTTTCGTGACGCCTTGGAGGTGCCTTGGGTCGGATTACACTAACGGTTTGGAAGTTGAAACGATATGGTTTCGGAAACAGGGAGTGACATTGCATAGCATGGCACATAATTGGCATACGTGGTGCATTTGGTAATGGGTTGAGATAGGTATGTTTGTTGATGATACAGTGGCTTTACTTGACCCCCGAGATATGATCCCGTTCTCTTGCTTTCTATTCTCTATGTGGATTCACGGGGTCATAAGAGGTGTGTCTTAGACACTTCCTACTGAGCGTTTAGCTCACCCCATCATTTTAACATTTTTTAGGACATGGATGGCAGGTGGCGGACGACGCTTCTCCACAGGGTTTGATGGGTTAGTGGACTGTTTTGACATATTTCGTAGCTATGATTTCATTTCATTATTATTGTTATTTTCTAATTTTTTAAAAAAACTATGGTATGACTCGTATATTATATATTGACGAAGGAAAGGATGGTAGTGTCCTTAGTTGACCTCGAGTTCGGATAAAGACCCGGTTAGCGATTCGAACCCTCAGGTTCGGGTCGTTACAAGTTAACTACTCCCTTATTAAAGAGTGAGCTCACAACGCTCGAGCAAATCTACTTAACTTAGTAGGACTTGGCATTCTCGATGCTTGACAAAAATCTAATTCCCTTACTAAAGGAACAAGCTGAGTGAAGCTCGTAAAACCTAGTTCCCTTACTAAAGGGACAAGCTGAGTGAAGCTCGTAAAACCTAATTACCTTACTAAAGGGACGAGCTGAGTGAAGTTCGTAAAACCTAATTCCCTTACCAATGGGATGATCTGAGTGAAGCTCGTAAAATTTAATTCTTTTACTAATGGGACGAGCTGAGTAAAGCTCGTTCCCTTATTAAAGGAGTGACGAGCTGAGTGAAGCTTGTAAAATTTATTCCCTTGCCAAAGGGATGGGTTGACTGAAACCCACAAAGTTTAAAACTAGTATATTAGATTTTCAAAAGAAAAATCCAACTTTACATCATTAAGAGTCATTGACCATGGGTTTGAATCCATGCCCTTCCAAAATAGAACCTTAATTTGGTATCTGTATTAATTCCACCATTGGGAATAGTACCCAAGGGAAGAGTACCCATGGGAACATTATCTAAGGGAAGATTACCCAAGAAAAGAGTACCCAAAGGAAGATTACCCAAGGGAAGAGTACCCATGGAAACATTACCCAAGGGAAGAGTACCCAAGGGAAGGGTACCCACAAGAACATTACCCAAGGGAAGAGTACCCAAGGAAAGAATACCCACAAGAACATTACCCAAGGGAAGAATACCCACGGGAACATTACCCAAGAGAAGAGTACCCACGAGAACATTACCCAAGGGAACAGTACCCAGGGATACAACAACAAAAAATAAATTAAATTACTGTTCAAGTGAACAGTACTCGTGGGTGCTATTCCCGAGGGAACAGTGCCTAGGGCAAAAAAAAAAAATTTCACATTCCCAAAGCTAGACGAGCAAGCTTGGGAATGGGAGGCAACTGATAGGGAAAAATAAACCTAACCTACCTTGTCCTAACGATAAAGACAACTAAGTGTTGATCAGCCGCCAGACCTCTTCAACTTTCGAACGATGATATTTCCATTGGATAAGAATGATAATATTTCATTATCAAAGATAATGAAAGATGACGTGGTTTAACAGGACAAGGATAACCTTGGCACAATTTGAGAAAGTCAAAAGGGTTAAATCATATCCCCGATAAATCTGGCAACAAACGGATCTTCTCTGATCTCGCATAAGCAGATCTTCTCTGATCTCGCACAAGCGGATCTTCTCTGATCTCGCAAATGAACTGAGGGAGAGTGACTATAAGAATAAGATCTTACTAGTCAATAAAGGTACGACAAAAAATGATTATTAAATCCATGCCTTTATTTTAGACCTCCGGTGACTGACTTGATCATCGGAAAGCTCTTAGCAGGCACCACACCGGTACCGTCAAGATTCACCTATCTTTTATTCTCTTCTTTGCAGAACAATGGTGTCGTATCAGACCGTGTGGATTTCTCCCCCAACAGTAAGTAAAATAACTATGCAACCAAATTAATATAGTGGTTAATAATTAATATAGATATATATATATGTGTGTGTGTGAATAGGATTGAATTATTATCAGATTGGATTACTTACAATTCATATCCAATTTGTTAAGGTAATGAATTATCGGATTTGAATCATTATCGGATTATCAAATTTTTTTCTCAAATCATACTCGGATAATTAGATCGAATTTGGATCAGAATCCGATCAATTGATAGGTCTAAACAGAACAGAAGAGGTGAGGGTTTGAGCTAGAATGTGGCAAAAAAATGTATGGGAGTGAAGCCAAGAGTATGTTTCTTTCCCATTGAAAATATATATATATATATATATATATATACTTCTAACAGGCTTCAGTTTATTTGGGTCATACCAGTTTTCAAGGTTCGGGCCTGATTTACTTCTGTTACCACCCAAACTCGGCCCATTTACAGACATGGGCCAGAGTCCAGACCCGACCACCGTATTTTTTGTTGAATAAATCATTTGAGAAACCCTAATTTGCTGCATTGGAGGCTCAGCTCGAACTCTTTGCGTCTTGAGATCTTAGCACAATGGTGAGAAACCCTAATTTTATAACCTTCACACCTACAATCCCATTATGCTTCTGAGCTTTTAATTTTGCAGTGGCTCGCTGTTTGTTTGCTGAGAAAAACCGTGAAAGAAAAGATATGGAAATAAAAGTGTTGAACCCCATGTCAAATGTTTTCTTTTTCTTCCTGCATTTTCTCAGCAGCCAAACGGGCGGCTGTTTGATTAGTCAGTTTGGTTTGGTAATTGTTTTGTGTGCTTTATTTTCGATGGTTCTAATTTGATGTTATTATTTGTAGCCTTTCAAGAGATATGTGGAGATTGGGAGAGTTGCTCTCGTGAATTATGGAAAAGATTATGGAAAGCTTGTTGTCATTGTCGATGTTATCGATCAGAATCGGGTTTGTGTTTAATGATCTAATTACGTGCATTTTTTGACATTTATTTCTCTATTTTTAATTATTTCTGTTTTGTGTTTTTGTATACAAAAAAATAGAATAGTTGTGGATATGTGGCACTAAAATGATGTATTCTTTATATCAAACCGTAACCTAAAACGAATGCACATGTTCATTCTTGGAATGAATATATATCATGTTAACTAACAATTAGTATTGTCATTTCATGAAAAAAAACTACTTCAAAATAAAAATGGACTAAATTTGAATATAGTGGAAGAAAAGGAAGTCCTGCAATAGTTGATTTTGGTCAGAAGAAGAAGTGTGTCTCTTAAAAACAAGCCTTTGGACAATTCTATGACACCCTTTTAATATTTATTTAAATTTTTTAAGTGTACTTGAATTAGATGACAAACATGCACTGGGGGGTGGGCACAAAAAAAAAAAAAAAAAAAAAAGAGTCATGGAATTACAGTTATTTTTGGTACTCTAATGGCATTATAACCATTTAGGTACTAATTATTAGTTGTGTTGCTTAAAAACTTTATTCCCATGTGGTGAATTTTGATCATCATCCTAATTCGCCAGGGTTTCGTCATTTGGGCATTCCAGTATAGCAGTTTGTTAAGATACTATATCTGTTTGTACTTTTATTAAACGGTAGTTATTTTATTTTATTTTATTTCTGAAAAAAAAAAAAATTTAATGCAATTTTGTTAAAGATGCAAATAACTACTTTTTACGAGTGGAACCAAACGGTATCTTAAATTAATTAATTTATATCTAAAATTTCTAGTTATTATTTGCATCATTGCATGATCTATGAATGACAGATAATATCTGCATTCCTTACATATTTGTGGTTATGTGTCAGCTTTCAAAAAATCCATTTTTTATAAGTCTAATTTTTTTTTTTTTTTTTGCAACACATGTAATTAGTAAACAAGCCGAGCATGAACACTGTTAGGTTCGGCTTGGTAAGCTTGTAAACAAACAAAAGGTTTTATTTTATATATAATCAGCCTATATAAATGATGCCCATTAAAATTTTATAGTTTATCCCACATATGAATCCCATAAAAAAATGTCCAATACTTTTCTTCACAAGTCTAACATACAAGCCCATATATATTTTTAATTAGAAACCCTAAAGATCTACACGTTCATTCCCCACCTCTTACCCTAATCTTATCTCATTCTCATATTAATATCACCAATTCACCACACTCCATCCCCCACCTCTCATCTCTCGTTTTGTCTGGTGTAATTGATCTATCTCCATCTTCAGCCCCATGATTTGTGAGGAGATGGAGATCAATGGCAATGAAAATGGAAGGAGAAGGATGGATGACCCCCAACCTCCAGATATGCATATATAAAATATATCTACAATTATATACATGGATTTGTTTATATATACATGTGAATATGTGTTTATTTACATATGAATCTGTTGATTTCCTCCGAACTTGTATGAATCTGTTGATCTATGTATGATATATGCGTGTGTGTGTGTATGTATGTATACATGCAGGACTGAGATTGTATGTGTTTGGGCAAACGGGTTCGAGCCGAACCAAGCCCAATCTTGCTGAGAAACTGACGAGCTGTGCGCCTGGCTCACCCGATCCCGAGCCGACGCCAAACACCTCCCTAATCTAGACAAGCTGAGCCTGAACATGCCAAAGCTTGGCTCGGGTCGATTCATTTGCAGCCCTAATGTCAATATGTCACACCCCAAATTTTAATACAAGAACTACTTATCCTGCATAAAAAAACTAAGGTATAACTTCCATCAATTCTCAACATACATCCTCCATAATAGAACTACAATGAATCCCGTCATTCAACTTAACAAACATGAGAGTCTGACAAATTTTATACAAATCCATAAATAGAGGTGCAATTCCCTCTAGTAAAACAAAACATCTATGACTACTGAATCAACTCAATAAAGTTTCATAAAACGTTAACTTTATTACAATAATCAGAATAAAGGAAAACCGAACTAAAATAAATCAATGCGTAACGAGCTAAAATCCGTTCCCGTCACGTGTCACCATCACGTTCCTACTCTACGAGCACCTGAAATGTAATAATGGGGTGAGCTCACAAGCTCAACAAGAAATGCTAAACACAATCATCGTTCAGCAAGCTAACCTTACCTTGTATTCCCATATATATAAACAACTCAATAAATTCATTAATTAAAGGTATATTCTAGTTAATTATAAACTCAATAAATAACCATCATTTATTTTAAGTAAATTTGCATATCTCATCTGAGCCCCGGGCTCCCATCCAATAAAGTGGTGTGATTCATATAGTCCCTGACTACCGAAAACACACGTATGGCTGGATTGTACGTCTACTCCCCAGATGATCCCTGATCACGTCCACACAATAAGGGCTCATTAGACCCATGGCCATAATAAAAGGGTAGTGCACTCCCAAATAGGCAGGTCCCTGACCATATCAAAAAGTCATCATAGGGTCAGTCCCTGACTACCCTTCCGATTAATCCAAACTCATCCATTAATTATTAAATATGGTGAATTATGAAAGGCATTATTAATTAATAATTCAAATTAATTATTAAAGCACCAAAATACATATTTAATTCAAAAACAGAACTTTAATGACCCAACACTGAGAGTACAAAAATTCTGGACATAGCCTAATATTATATATGATGCCTTGCAAAATTTCAAAATCTAGCTCTTATTAGTTTTTCTGTACTCTCCCTTTTAGTGCTAAAAAAATAATACTTTTCATGTTTTAATTTCGTAAAACCATCAAACAGTCATTTAACAATCTGGATTTCAGCACAAATAAGTTCATTATACTTAAAACTAATATTCTGGAATTTTTCCCAATTTTTGAAATAACAATACTATTTTTCATAATTTCCTTTAACTTAAATCAATTTTAAAAGAATAATAATTAAATAAAGAAATAAGATTTAAATTGCACAGTAGACACCAAAAATGGGTCTTCCACATCTCATCAATCACGTTTTAGCTAAAGTTTTGATCCATTATATATATATATAAATATAATTATAATTATCTAGTTTCCACATCAAACTAAACCACTGATCAAACTAATCATAAATTTACTACAGTGCCATCAAACATGTTCCGTACCCATTCTCTACTCTCACTGATATAAGCCATTACACCTGAGCTTTACACATATATAAAAAAAAACTTATATATATGTATGTATATTACACCTATAAGTTATCTAATCTAATCATTCAATTATTTTCCTGTACCACTTATGGCACTTAATACCAACTCATATATGATAATCATCCCAATATTTTCAACGAGAATAATATAAAGCAACATGTAACTTTAAATTAATTTATTAATTAATATAACAACAATATAACCAATCTGTACAATTTAACAGAAACGATAATCAAAATTTTTTGTAAATAAATTTTATTTAATCTTTAATAATAAATCATTCTCCTAATCATACCCAATTAAATTCAAAATAACAACCTACACAACTTATACTATTCTAATCTTAACAATCATTAAAAATAGTTTCTTTTTCTACCATTTATTAAAATCATATGAATTAGATTTTCCAGATTATCAAAGCAAGTTACAAATATATATAAGAGTACAATGCAAGATTAACTTGCCTGTTAAATATCGTTAAACCTTTCTCTCTAGCCGATCCTTTGGTCACCGTCTCTTTTTCCGGCTACTGCAGATTGCCAACGAAAAATCAGTAACCCGCTTCCTCTCTTTCTCTCTCGGTAATTTCTTTCTTCTTTTTTTTTTTTATGAAAAATAATATCCTCGTACCGATACGATGTAAAATATAAAGGATAAATATAACTGTATTCGAGATAACCTAGGACTCTTATTTAAAGTTTTAAATTTTAAAAAAAAACTCTATTATCTCAACTATCACGTTAAAATACCAAATACTAAATAATAAAAAAAATAATGTACGAAATTTTAGGATTTTACACAATACGTCTATGATACTTTTGGGAACTCATACACGTCCTGAACATTGAGATGCTGAATTTTCAGTATTGCGTTCGAATATTTGTAATGTCATTTAGAGAAGAAGAATTTAGATATAATGAAGAGAAATTATGCCAAATTTGGTTGCAGGTCCATGCCAATGCGGCATGCCCTTGGTTTTTATAGGTTAGAGCTTAATATATGTGAGTAATAAAATCAAAGATAATTGATCAAAGGTTACATCTCCCTTCGTATACAAGGAGCTTATTGTATGTATGTGTGTATTTATACATGTCTGTTTGTGTATATGAGTATATATGTTGTAATATGTATATATAAACATATCTTATCCATTTTTAACTTTGTCATATCCAAGTGTCGGAACTCATAATAGTATTCCATTTGTGTGTTCATGCTTCATGCTAATGCTAAATCTAAGAAATTATAATTTTTCAATAAACAACTGAAATTGCTACACCATGTGGCTGTGAGTTCTGGTCAAAATACAGGTTTAGGTCCATTGATTTGTGGATCTAAAGTGTATTCTTGTCTTTGAGGCTTTTGTCATGTTTTTGGAAGCCTTAGTTGAATGTTACCTGCATAACCATTTTTTGTGAGTTCTTTAACTTTATATGCCATTACTATTAATAAATTGAAAAGGAAACTGAATTGTCGTGGGAAGTTCTTTAATAAATTAAAAAGGAAAGTGTGGATTTTATATTATTCCACACTTTTTTTTCCTTGACTTTAAGAAGGAAGTACGTTAATAAATTATTGCCTATTTTTTGGAATCGATACGACTTAGTACTGGTCAGATGTTTTGATTGTATAATCTTTTTTTTTTTTTTTTTTTGATAAGTAAAATGTATTAGAAAGCGTTCAAAAGGGGAACGCGTCCCGAGATATACACAAAAAGAATCTATGAACTCAAAGAACCCAAAAAGTCCACAATGTCCTCTAAAGAAGAATAATCCCTCCCCCAACCCCAACAAAAAAGGGTACAAATAATAGAAAATTTCAGCTCTCCAATAGAGGACTCCTTCCCATCAAAAGATCTTCTGTTCCGCTCTTTCCAAAGACTCCACCAAACGCAAAGAGGGTTCACCCTCCAGAAGTCTCTAGCCTGAGCCCCCACCCATTGCTCTGTTATAATCACTTGGTAGAAGTTATTTTTTGCTTTTAAGCTGGGGCAGTTATTGAGCAATACTGCAATGGCATTGCTATCTTCGGATTGTTATTTTCACATGCGTATATATTATTGTGTGCTCTTTGAATACTCATTAAGGTGGTATCACATTTTCTTTATCTAAATATCTCTGTATTGTTGGGGCAATATTTTTTTCATTGTTAGCATGAATATGAGCATGTGCTGATTCTGAGTTAGGAGGGCTAACTTTGCAAGTTTCGAATTGCATGAGCATTTGGTTGTTACAATTCATTTCTGGATTTGAAATCATTCAAAAGGGTGATTCAGCCAATTACAAAAGAAAAGCCAAAAGCTATACCCTCAAGCTATATACAAAAGACAAATCTATGGAGCTTTTATTGTTTTTGGTGGATGGCTTGGGGTTATGACTTTTGGTTGGAATTGAAAACACTCCCCTTTTGAGTGCTTTTCAATGAAATATTACTTATAAAAAGGGGGGGGAAAAAAATCACTTCTGAATTTTTCCTGTCCGTAAATTATATAGGGACTTAAAATTAGTTATTTTTCTTCTTCTTAAAAAGTTAGGAATTTGTAATATAATACACGGTAATAAATAACCTTATAAGCGCCCCTATTGGATAGTGTAACGGGCTGGGCACTTGCCATCTGTGCTTATTCACCGTTATTGGAATAGAGCTTCAGATTCAATTAAATGTTTATCAATTTTACCTTTGAAACCCTATATACTTGGCAGGCTTTGGTTGATGCCCCTGATATGGTGAGAACTCAAATGAATTTCAAAAGACTGTCACTTACAGATATCAAGATTGACATCAAAAGGGGCCCCAAGAAGAAGACTCTTATTGCTGCCATGGAGGCTGCAGGTAAGGGCCAGCATAGCTTGCTTGGCTTGAAATTCGGATGTCTTTCCTCGCCTGTTGTAATATTGTGAGCACCACTAACAGACTTCGTATTCTATGTTGGTAGATGTCAAGAACAAGTGGGATAACAGCTCCTGGGGCAGGAAGCTGATTGTGCAGAAGAGAAGGGCCTCACTCAATGACTTTGACAGGTTCAAGCTTATGTTGGCAAAGATCAAGGTAGGCATTTTTTTTCCCCCTCAATAGTTGTCGCCATTGCAGTTTCACGTATAAGTTCCGGATAATTTACCTGCATAATTTGAATTTAGTCGTATATTTATAATTTACTTGCATAACTTTGAATTTAGTCCTATATTGCTGATCTTGGCCCAAACTCATATGTGGTTCTTACCAATACACATGACAAAACTGAGTAAGGTCAGTAGGGTTTGTGATGTGGACTTTTTGTATTCGGAAGTTGCTTCTTGACATCTTTCAGTTGGTCGAGGCCTTCTCAAAGCTTGGCTAGATACTTTTTTCGCATCTGCATTGGTCTTAACCACTTGGCATGATCAGACAAAACACTGGCAAGATCAGGTCCCCAAAAATATGTGAATTTACAGCATGGTCTGCTGCTCGGTATTTTACCCAATCATGCCCAATCAAGGTTTCAGTGTTCTGCATTGTTCGGGGCAAAACACTGAAACCCTGTATGAAATGTCAATTATTCCTTTGTATTTGGAGGAAACAGCAATGATTGAATTATTATATTGCTTGCATCTTTTATGAGAACCGCCAGTGTTGATGTTCATTTCAGTCCTTGTTCTTATCATCATTCTTGAATTTGCAGAGGGCTGGAACAATCAGGAAAGAGCTTGCAAACCTGAAAAAGCAGAGTGCAGCTTGAGCCTCACAACTTAGGAACGCCTGTTTGAGATTTTGATTGTTTCTTGCACCAAAGTCTTCCCTGTATTTTCATATAATTACTAAAACCATTTACTGGTGAAACCTGTAGTTGGGTTTCCTCTAGTGTTTTATCAGATGAATAATTTTGCTTTGTCTATGGGTTTTCAAGTAAATCTTGCACTACATTTCTTTTGACAAAATTATAGCTTGTTCTTGCTTGGGTACATGAGTGGCCTGCAATTGATGGCTTACCTAGCAGTATAAAGCTTACCTAAAATGGTTACGCAAAAGGTATTTTATAAAAATAATCAGTTATAACTGGAAATTTTAGGGGCATTTTGCCGAGAAATTTTTACATGGCCCCAGCAAATTGCATAGAACTCTCCTTGATTAGTTGACACAAATAATCGTAGGTTCGACATAAAGAAGCAACTAATTTCTCTAACCTTAACGGCAGTTAATTTATGCTATTTGATCACTGAAACTTCATGTAACCAAGGCGAAAATCGTAACATATACATATAATTTCTCTGCATGCCTGTTAATGGGTTTTCAATTTCCAAGAATATGACGAAACCCGTATCAAGGATCATCCAAAATTTCATCCATAGACTAATCTCAGCTTAAGGTTAATCTCAGAGTCGATCTCATTGGATCAGTGTTTATTGTCTCTATCTATATATATACTCCGTATATATTGTCTTTGTTGATTTCGTTTTGTCAAACTAGTTCATAATTAATGTTTTGATTGAAACAAAGAGGAAAGACTAGGTTTGTTCAGTGGTTTTGTTTACAACATGTTCACAGAATGGTGTAACAATGCTGGTAATGTGTATCATAGTTTGAATCATGAGTACTAGCCGAAACTGTATCTCAATCTGAAAAAACCCATTGGAGAATACATTGTTCTTTGGGGCAAGGAATCCTCTGAAACTGTATCTCAATCAGAAAAAAAGGCAAAAACAGACCCTGATATAGAAAAGTTATCGTAAAACCCTGGAGAATACATCACAATTACACTAATTAATTAAAAAAACAAAATTCTTAAGCATATGGTTTATAAGGTGACCTAAAACAAAGGGTTAAAACCACAATCAGGTGCTAAAAATTCGTACTGTCTAAACTGCTCTTTTCCTTGCTGGTTTCTTTTTGATGTTTACATAAAAAACAAATGAAGTGCTAATTATTCGTATGGAATGGAACCTTGTTATGAACTGCTCGCTGGATTCTTGCTGATTGCATAAACAAATGGCTCCACAAAGGCTAATGGAGTTGTTCAAGATTTCCTGGCAAATAATTCACATGTAATAATATCATCCATCGATGTTGCAGACCTCCCAGCCCCTAAGACAGGAACAAGGTTGAAAATCGGTTCCTTGCTACTCTTAACCCTCCCACTCATTTCAGCGAATTCGTTAAATACATTGCTGAACATGACTGATAATGTTTCATGGGACATCTCAAGACTTGTTGGGTAATAGAGCCTCAAGTTCTACAAAAGGACAAGACAACGCAGATAAGTAAGAACATGCATTAGTATTAAAAATAAATAAACAAAGTAATCGACAAAAGAGACTGACAACATAGAATAAATGCTGCAGGAGATGTAACAGAGAGGACTTCAGATAGTAGATACAGAAACTGAATCTCACCACATACAACTCAAAAGTAAACATAAAATCCAAAGCCCAAATTGTATTATTTTTTCCAAAAGCTTTCCTGCAATGTTAGTATAGGTTTGCTAGCAACAGCTGCGCGCGCGATTGTTACTAGAAAGCCACCTATCTGATTGGTAACGGTGTTGGTTTTATATATATATATATATATGAAAATCAATTCTATCACGTATTGTTTGGAAATGCCTTCTTTTAAAAAGGATTCTAAATTCAACACGGCTCTATATCCAACAGGAAGAAACATACTTGGTCATGAAGTGATCTTCTGGAGTTGAAATTGTATGCAGCAAGACTATATCCAACATTCTAGAGTCCTGTTGAATTTAGAATCCCTTTTTTTTTTTTTTTTAAGAAGGCCTCTCCGAACAACGATGGAATTGATTAATAAAAAATACAAACACCGTTCAGTCGCCCAATCAGATGGGTGACTGTTTACCAACATTCGTGCGTACGACTATTACTAGCAAACCTCATGTTAGTATAGTAAATGCTCTCTGTCAATTCTCCTCTCGGTTTTTTGTTTTTTTTCCCTGTTTTCATAAAAAAAAACTATAATCATTTAAAAAAAAGGGGGTCAGGAAGCAGAAAAGAGATCTCATCAGCAGAAGACACAAGTGGGGTTTTGAAAAAGAAGGATTTTAGATAACAAAGGATTATCATATGATACACAAAATACTCAGACGTCAAGGGTTCAAGGCTGTCCCTTGTCGCTAAGAAAAGATATCTCAAAATCAGCCAATTTGGGAGCCTTAACATGTCCTTAGGGAACTTGGAACACAGTTCCCTGAAGACAGTTTCCGGTTCTAATACTCAAACAACACTCACAAAATTGCTAAAGATAATCCAAAAACAAGAGTTTTAATTAGATTACAAGGTTATTTATGTTTACTTTGCAGCTTCCAAATAGAAATGGAGGTTCAGCTTCCAAGGAGAAATGGCCAAATTCAACAATACTTTATACACATTAAACAATTATTTTTCAAAGCATTGGACGATGAAAATACATGTATTATACAGAAAATAGGAGCTAAATGTCAGGGCAATAGATATGATTGTTAATGAATAGAATTACATGAAGATATTTTTTGCAAATACAAAAAATACAGTATATAAGCTGTTATAAATATGTACTCCCTCCATTGGCCCTTTTTCCATTTTTAGTTGTCACAAAATTCATGTCCCATTTGGAAAGTCAAATATATAAATATTTCCCTAAGTTTCTTCAGCTTCTGAAAACTTTTTCAAACAAACAACGTAAATTTTAAACTTTAAAGGGGTAATTTTGGAATTTCAGAAGAGAACAACTCATTAAATGCATGTCCCCTTAAAAGGTTAGAAATTTGAAAAGGAAAGGAATTTTGGTACGAAGGGAGTATGTTGCACCAGTCAACTCAACTCATATGAATAAAGAATGTTGGGTTGCTATAAGACGACTATAACAAACTTTAAATACTCTATATCCATCCCAAAAATTCTTGTTCATTTTCGAGATTCTAACTTTTTAAGGGGACCAGCAATTAATGCATTAGCCCCTTTCGTAATTCCAAAACTTGTTTAAAAACTCACATTCTTAGTTTGAGAAAGTCTTCAAAAGTTAAAAGGATATTTTGGGAAACATAATTTTTTTCTCCACTGACTTTCCAAATAAGACATAAATTTTTGGGCAGCCAAAAATATAAATTTCTTTTTGGACCAGTAGGAGTAATATTTACCAATGTATATGTGCGTATGTATATAAGACTAACTATGCTTTAGTTACAAAATCTTGGCCAGTTATTTATATATGAAGGTTGTTAGAATCGGGAATCTAAGTAGGATCGTTGGGGGCTCTGTAGAATCGGATCGAGAATTGTAAGATTCTACCGAACTAGTAGAAAAACGTTTCAAACTAACTTGTATCTCTAAAATACAGCAAGAATAAGTCCAAAACACAAAAATTGTATAAAAGTACCACTCCAAATATAATATATAAGTTGTAAATATATATATATATATATATATAATATAAGAGATGTAGTGCTACTAATGTATCCAAATAATTCAACTAATCAAGTTTCAAACTTCCAACATCAATTCAATTTAGATATGAAATATAACTTATTAGATGTTACTTATCAAAACAAAATTATTACTTATTAGATTCTAGTGCTCCTAACTTAGATACTACTGACTATATGAATTATTACTTATTTTTTTCAAGATGTTGGACATGGTCATTCTTAGATGTAATTGTATTATACAAGTGTTAAAGTTATTCATAGATGTAATTGTGTTATACAAGACTTGTGCTAGGAGTGTGCGAAATGTGTAGATTATGTCTGTGATGTATAGGCTAAGTGTCTAAAATTTTAATTTTAAATTATGGACATGTGTCAGAAATGTCCATGAAGTATCAGTTTCTACGTGTGTCCAATGTGGACACAATATAAAGTTGCTACAACAAAGGAGGGATTAAGGCACTATATGAATTTGAAAATTACTTTTTATGACAATGAACTCCACATCCTGGTGTTTCTATTTATATAAGAAGAATCTCTCCCATTTCTAATATTGAAAAGTAGCATCAGGTCTCAGGATCGATTCCTGCTAAGTGCAAACAATTCCTTGGAGAGGAGGAGGAAGTAGGATATAAGGTGCTATAAGAATTTGAGCATATTCTCGGTCAAGAAACTGCCCCATATATGTATAAAAACACAAAATTATTTTTGTATACAAATTCCTCGAACTTGTTGCAATTGCTAAGATACAGATTAATCGAAAGCTCAACATCCTAGGTACGCATATGGTTCCATTTGCCAAGCATATGTTTCTAACATGGAATAAAATGTATTCAATCGATATACGCAAGCACCAGGATCCAAAATGCTCCCTTCTATTGCACCAGAAATTCCTTACAAAATTACCTTTGGCATTCAACAAAATCATCTTTGCACTATTTAAAACTAAAAGCACTTTTAAAAATGTGTTAAGAGAATGACAATCGAAAGAGGAAAAATGCAACATTAGTATGCTTATCTATTACTTTTTGCAAAGCATAGATTAAATCACAAGATAAATAACAAATATATATATATATATTTATAAGTCAGAATGTATTAGAAAGCATAAATAACAAATATTTTCTCAGCTTAAAAAAACCAACTAAAATCAGAATATGAGGGTTCTTTAAAGGAAACAAACTTACCATTGTATCATCCCAAGTAAAATAGCTTTCCAGAAGTATTTTATCAAGAAGATAAATGGAAAACCTTGCTATTTTTTTCATTTTTCCTTCTGTGAGAAAAGTTCGCCGATCCCCATCAACTTGATTTGTGCTTGCAGACTCAGAACAGATCTTCACAGCCAGTTCATCTGTAATTGATAGGATGATTGCACATATTTTTCCATGAACAATACATTTCTGAAAGCAAATATCATGCCAGAGTTCATGCTGGAAACCCCAGTAACCGCATGCCACTTTGCATGACAGGTCTGGCACAACATGATCATTAGCAGTTTCTGTATCCTCCGCAGCATATAGGGTAGGCTTCACTTCCACAAGCGCTCTGAAATACCACCAAAAGATTAAGGTAAAAATGAGAAAGGAAATGTTGGGATCGAGTTTTGAAAGTCTAAATATGTTCTCATATTGCTGCTGTGTACAGTGAATGCCATGCATCCATTTAATCAGTATGAGCTTGAAAACATACAAAAGCATAAATGAAGATGTATAAAACAAAATAGATCGACTCACAAAAGTAATGGGAATTTTTTTTTGTTTTGGATCAGGTAGTACTCACAAAAGTAATGGTAAAATTTGAATTTTGAAAAAAAAAAAGAAGGAAAAAAAATGTGAAAGGTTTCTCAAATGGCCAAAAGTTAATATCGAAGCGAAACATATCCAAATATAGAGTTAATTACCTTTTTGGGAGATCAGGCACAAGAACATATAAAAAAATGGGGTCAAGAATCTTAGACATGTTTCCATTATCTAAATGAAGCGATCTCTTTTGCTTAAGATACGAATCCTGCTTGTCCAGGATACTGATCCTTTCTGATGAAGGAATGTCATGCGAACAGTAAATGACAAAGGCAATAGCCGATGTAGATATAGAATACTTGAAGCATTGTGCCACTGCCTCACTGTTCTCCAGGGCTTGCTCAAGCTCCACAGTAGGGCCTCCACTACAGAGTGACATAGTTGGAGGGTCAAGCCCCAGCTGCCCAGCCATGTGAAGCATCTCCTTGTGTAAGGTTGCCTGAAGGAAAACAAATTGTGAACTCAGCAATCTAACAATATGACCATTTATTTGTGCAGTTATTTATAACAATAGTAATCACATACCACCAAAGCCTTGGCTTGAGTGTTATGTCCCCTCCACCATCCCAAAGGGGAGGTTGAAGGTTCAAGCCCAGTGGAGACGTGTGTGTGTGAGTTTATTTGCCTACCGGAGGATTAAAAAAAAAAAATTTAGTAGTATTCACATCTGAAGGAGATACTATAATCACGGAGTCTCTGGAAATTATTTCAAGGAGTGTTTAACATTAACACCTAACCGTTTCCAACAAAAAGCCATCTTAATTACACTGAGAATGCATGCATTTTATATATGTTATAATAATTCAACAAACCCTTTGTCAACATCTGAGCCTCTACCCCATGGCAGCAAGAAAATTATCATCATAATCCGGATGTGATCATGCTTCTGGATCTCATCTAATTTTGGATGGGAACTGTAAAGAAATCCTGTGACTAGAGAGACAAGGGTCTGAAATATCGTGAAGTATTTTAATCACCAAGTGTGTCAAAAATAATCATTTCATTTTAAATCAATCAGGATCCAGTCCAAAGAGTATTCAACTAATGCAAGTCCCAATTTAGCGGTTCTACGGCATGGACAAGTGGTAGCACATCCATAAATAACATGAAAGGCATGGAAAATATGCCTCCAAGGCACGCAAGCATTGATTACATGAGGGCAAAGAATCTTGCAAACACAACTTCCTTTAGCATGGAAGAAAAATATAATTAGGAAAAATCAAATTAAATGTTTATGTGAATTTACTAAAATGGTTGACTGCATTTAGACAACAACAGTAGAAAACCAGAAGATTTTTATCAAAGGAGTGGACATGGATAAGGAGATGATTCATCATAATTATGCACATGTACACATGAATATCTACATATGTATTATATATATGGGTGTATTATTAAATATTTTGATTTATAAGTAACATTTTTCATATCGGTTCAGTTTTTGAAACTTCAGTTAGATCCAAGTTTAGCAAAAGCTCTTTTGTAACTATCATTTGGAATATTTAGAAGGAGAGGAATTCTAGAGTTCATGGGGGTCCTGTCAGATCTCCTGATCTTCTTGGGGTTGATTCTGCCTTGGAATCTGTACCTTATTAGGGATTCCAGTTGGAGAATTGAGTTTGTTATGATTGTTTTCTGCAATTTATGTGTTCTCTTTGGTTCTGATCTTCCTGGAAGTGGTTCTTTTCACTCGAGTCTTGATGTAATTGCAGGGGTATGCCCCTGCTTGCTCTTTTGCACTTCATCCCTTTCGCTTCTTTTATATAATTGCCCCATTCAGGAGAGAAAAAAAATCGTATTTCAGCCATTGAATATTAGTTTTGTTATGCTAAGTAAGGTTTACTGTACCTGTACTTTATATATCTATATATAATTCTATGTTTCCTTCTTGTGTCCTTACACTATCATTTTTTTTTTTTTAATTTGTCATAGTACATGCTTAATAGATTTTAACAGTTTCAAAATTTGCTAGAAATGTACTGGCATAGTGGTCCATAGGTTGCATATTGGGTCAATATGTGCCTTTGGATCTTTATGCATGGAACTTTATAGGTTTACATGATTTATACCTGACAAAGTCACAAAGTTCAAAGAAGCAAAAATAGATGATTTCCATCAATTCACTTCTTGCCTTTTCTTTTGGGTCCATGTCAGATTTCTGATCCTCCTCCTCTCCACTAACAGTTCCAAGATATATAGCATTCTACAGAACAAAGTATAGAAGGGGATAAGGAGGTTCTTCATGTCGTTGCGAGGCTGTTTGAAGATTATTTTACACTTAATACATTAAATGCAACATATGAGGAACTCAAACCCTTGCCAATTGATTAATGACCTAGCTTCTACCTTGGTCTCTCTACCCGGGGCTTAAAAGGCCTCTCTTCGTGTCAAAGACGGACAACTGTGTTTGGACTCAACCAAGATTCTAAAAGAATCACAGTATGAGAACACCGAAGTTGCCTGTTACATTTTATATACAAAGAGAACTTGACCCTAAACATTTCAAACTATGGAGCACAAAGAAACTATAAGAAACATTTAGAAATTTAACAAAAAGATTCCAAACAAAAATAAATAAATAATTAAAGAGATCTGAGAGGAGGTAAAACTTGGCAGACCAAGAGTGCACAAACAGAGTACTGAAACAACACTACATTGAAGAGGAAACCTTTTTTTTTAATAAGAACACCTAATTAAGAAGAACTAAAAACTGGTAATTCTAATTACCTGGCTATATGGTCCAATGCAACTAGGAGCCCAGCAAGAGATACTTTGAACATGCAAAACTCTTTTACTTTGATCATTTGCCACCAATACTTCAACATATGCCCTTCCTAAACCAACTTGCAACAGAGGAAGCTCAATCGTACTGCGGGATGGAACACCAAAACGGCACTTCTCCTGCGTTATAAATTGCACGTACGTCTCATTTGCCATTGCGAACTCATTCATATCAGCAACATATAGATGGATGTACAGTACATCCTCCCAAGAACAACCATACTCCTTGAGTTGTAACTCGATTTTCATTAAAACGGCCTTAAGATCCTCTTGCAGATCTGCCAATCAAAGACTAAAATGCTAGAAATTTTGAACAATACAAACTCAAAACAGATACCAAATAGAACACAAGCTAGGCGAGGGAAATGATAAATACTAGGTTGGATACTGTCCATATATCATCCTTCCATTAAAACATCAAACTTTTTACCTGCTGAAGTTTTGCAAAAATCCTGCAACCAGCAACTTATGGAAAATGTATTATCCCGTTTAGTTTTTGAAATGTGGAGTTTATGTTCTGGAACTTCAGTTGAACTTAAGGCCACAACAAAAGACTGGCTCTTAACTTCACATCTTTCTGGGCAGTCCCCAAGAACTTCATATACAGAATCCATTTTTCCCGGACAGGAGCCACTACTATTATTGTCGCTTAAAGAGACGTGCTCTGGCTTATTTTCCAAATGGAATGTCAGAGGATGAAGGATTCCAACAGGAGCTATCGAGTCTGAAGAGTGAAGTACAACTTGAAATTCATCCAGCACAATACTAGCATTCTGGGGGGGGGGGGGGGGGGAATGTGTACGTTAAACATTGTTAAAAGATGGCAAGAAAATAAAAACTACGAATTTTTTAAACATCTAAACTTCTACAACAACATTACAGGACATTTTGCACAAGCTTAATAGAAAACATAAAATACCTTGCATCTGAAACATAATCCATAGAAATAAAATTATAAATTCAAGAAAATGGATATTATACAATGTAAAATTTATAATTCATCTACAATTAGAACAATTGAAGATCTGCAATAAATTTGCGAAGATGAAGAAAAAGGATAACCAAAGGAAAGTTATTTCTAGAGAAATATTAAAATTTTGAAACTAAAAGACAAGCTTACATTGAAGAGGGGACAGTCAAGTGTTAATGTTTCATATTCTCCTCCTTCACCACATACATTTATACCATACAACCTGCCAGTAAAGCAATCAACTGCTTAAAATTTAAAGTACAACTTAAGCTCAACATATTTTGTTTGACCTTACTCTTTTAACTTGTGTAGATGGGTCTTCAAGTGAGCTAGTTCTTTCCCCAAGTGCTTTGAAGGGGATAATCCAATGGCTGCAACCTATGACATTCAAAGAGCATGAGTTCACATTATAATCCACTAGCTGTTTTTTTTTTTTCCCTAGTTAATCCGCTAGCTATTAAGAAAATATATAAAAAAATACTACTGCAAAAACTATTAACAAGACAACATGTGATCTAAAATTGTGTACACTTGCGTTACAGTACATATCATAGTACTCATCTTGAAGTAAATAAAAAATAAATAAATAAATAAAAATGATATTTACTAGGATCTCCCTTAAACTATGTCATAAATAAGGGACCATGCAACCCGTCTAACATATACCTTTTCTTTACATTCAGTGCATCGCACTACAATACAATTTCCTGTTGCAATACATCATGTCGTCCATTCACGTGTATAATTGCAAATTTTGGCTTCTCATAGAGCATAATGGAGAAGATGGATCCTTGTTCCCCAACTAGTTGCAATTAAGACTTGTTGAGTTAATAATGTAAAAATGTTGTAACTATAGCATATAAGTTGTGAAGTCAGTGCCAATAGTTCAACTAAGAGCATGGAAGGGGCATTTACACAATCAAGTATTGGTGTAAGCAAGCATATCAGAGTGAAAATTTTCCTATCTATAACTCAATAGATGAGGTTTAGGCACAAACAAGACAACAATTGCATAAAAACTGGGATAAATTTCTTATTTTTCCCAATGAATATAAAACCCCAGCATTAAAACAGAATGCAAACATCAAAACAAGAAATTAAGGAGTTCATCACATCGTTCTTAAAGGACAAATCAGCGCATGACGAGGCAATACACTTTATGGTTTGAATGCAACCACATATTCTGCCTATAGGTTTACGTCTCAAGATCAGTCTTTTATTTTAGTAATCTTCCGTAGCTTCATTGTACAGTGGAAGTTTTAGATGCTCTGTAATGGATTATATATTGCTCATACAGACAGCACAACACCATCTCCACATATATAAAATTGTTCATTGTTATTTTTTATTTATTTTTGGTAGATTGTTCATTGTCAATATAAAAAATGTAAATCATCAATTCTAATATTACTTGATAGTGGATGTTGTGAAATAAAAAAATAAAAATAAAAATAAAATCACGACTTACTCATCACCAACTTTAGTCCAGAGAAAACTGATTTTTTTTACTTCTCCTCCTGGGTTGTGTTCACACTATCCTGTGTTTAATGTACATTTATGGGCAAATTACCTTAACATCCCCTAAAGGTTAGTCCATGCACCCACATATTAAATTTTGGTCAAATTTGTGGTCAAACTCTCCAAAATCTGGCCAAAATATAGTTCTGTGGCCATTAAATGTCTTTTTGTGCCGTCAAATTTTTTTAAGATGAATGCTGAGATTGCCCTAAGTTGGAATAAAATTAATATTTACCCTTCTAATCATTTTTAAGGAGACATTGTTCCTCAATGATATGACAAAAATGCCCTTACTATGGTCAGATTTTATTCAAAAATGTGAAGATCATCGCAGTGTTGAAGATCATTGTGTGTAGTATATATATATATATATTAATATATATACACACAAATGTATATATACACACAGTGTTGAAGTTGTTTTAGGCTTGTTTGAATTCCTTTCGAAGCGCTCCCCTTTTGAGCGCCTTCAATGAAATCTTACTTATCAAATATATATATATATATATATATATATATATATATACACACACACACAAATGGTTCTCTGAATATATATTTATATATATAATATACATAACCAAAAGCATCGCCCACTCCACCAGAGCAAAAGCATAATCGCAACAGAAATCAAGTCACAATAGACATCCATAACAGCAAGAAATAAGCCAAGCAAAGCCAAAGCCAAAAGCAGCGACACTAGAGCACAATCAACGTAAACAGAGAAATCAAATTCAGAGATTAAACAATGAAAATGAGATAGGGAGGTTGTAGTGGTGGTAGGAAGGGCAGTGATTAAGGGATAGAGAGTAAGAATCAAGGAATTAGCAGCAATGGAGAGGAGAAAAATTGTAGAAGGAAGTGGCATGGTACTGGTACTTGTGCGATGAGAGAGAATCAGTTAGTGATGATTGAATAAGGTGATTCACTGAAGCTCAATTTCTTTAGAGATGACTACTGGACAAATGTTAGTGAAATTATATAGATACATGAACCCTAGTCTTGCATCAGTGAAAGAGAAACCCCAAAAGCAGATCAATTAGGGCCTGTTTAGCAATAATTTCCGTTTTGCGTGTCTGTTTTCATCCGAAACAGTAAAAGCGTTTTTTTGTTGTGGAGTGTGTTCAATAGTGATTGGAAGCATGCTTGGTAGCGTAAAATTTGTTGCAAGATTTTTGGAAACAAAAACATAAAAACATATTTGGTAAAAAGTATTGCAAGATTCACAAATAAAATGGCTAGTTAAGAAAAGGCCACCTAGAGTTTTTTTATACTGTTCACTGCTACAGTGAACGAACATTAGGAAACACCAATTTGGTGTTTCCGATTTGGGCCTCTTTTTGGCAACAAACTCTATACTATTCAAATCACAACAAAGTTATCAAAGGCATTTCGGTGTTTTGCTTCGCTGCAATACACCACTCGCAACACAAAACACCAAAAAAGAAAGGTTGCCAAACAGGCCCTTCGTTTCAAGAAATTGATAGAGAGCCTTTTAGAGAGACACCTTGACAGAAAGACAGTGGCAGTGCTGGATTTGCACAGAGGAATTGAGGTGTCTAGGATGAATATGCTGGCAGCACAAGAAGGTGATGTGGTGTGTCGGAGTTGTAACTACGATGTGGTGCGTTCGATTTTCATATCTCAATCTATCTCCCACCATCACCAAACCCCTTCCAAGCCCACAACTGCCACCGCCACCATCTGCAAAACCACTCCATTACCATCATCTACAAAACCACCCTCCACCACCATCTGCAAAAACAACTCCTCCATTCTACCTGAATCCTAAAAGTGTTTGAAACTCTTAAGACACATTCCCCAAAAGGTAGCAACCTTCAGATTCTCATCTTACTTGCACAAAATCCAATTATTCTCTAGACAATTGCATTCTGTCAATTAGAGGGAGTGGAGGGTGATAATTGTGACCGACATAGTTGGGGAAGAGAAACAGAGTATGTTTACACATCAAATGTATAATTAAAAAAATATAATATATTGTCGCTTTTATGGATATTTAATAAATATAATATACTTGATAAATATATTATATATTTTTACCCATAAATTAAAGTGATGAAGAGAGGTTGGCTAAGGGATACAATGGGATCAAAATCGTCATCTCAAATTATTAATATTCCGTCAAATTTTCAGATTTTTATACCTATTATAATTATAAATTTATATGTTAAGGGTGAAATGGTAAATGTTCATAAGATGTTTTATAAAGGGAAAACTATATTTAGGTAGAGTTAGGAGTCCTAAATAATAAAGTGGTCTATTTTAAAAGTTTATTTTTCATTTTGGTTGAATTAAGCAAAAATAATTACATATGCATTGAGAATTATTATTCAGGTTCAAAATGCCCTTGGAGCTCTACTTCCAAAATATCAAATTATATTATTATAAAATAATTCCTTCACTCAAGAAATTTCAATGTATGCTTTTGAGAATGATCATTAAAAAAAATATAAAACCAATAAAAATAAAATAAAATAAAATAAAAAAATAAAAAAACAGGGGACAATCTATATAAACAAAAGTCTAAAGCAAATATCCTCTAAACCTAGTTTGCCCTTTTTTTTTTTCTTTTTCTTTGGTTTTGTGTCATATCTAAATAAACAATTTTTTTTTTTTTTTTGGTGTATTACGTAGATATCCAAACAAAAAATATCTCAAACTTGATACATTTTAGGTTGATTCTTCAGTTAAAACCACTAACATTTAGCAAATTGTGTAACGTAATATGAGATTAAACACCAAATGTCCAGTTTAAAAGTAAGCACACCATCAACGTAATACATGTTTGAGCACATCACACAGTGTGTGGGGATTATGGTTTTTAATGGTCTAACATACAAGAATATTTTTCCTTTCCTTGTTTAATCCATATTTTATTTTATTTTTTAAATGGTGTAACTGCCTTGTGTTTTGTTTTTTTTTTTTGGACTTGAACAATAATTCTTCATGCATATTTAATTATTTTGCTTAATTCAACCAAAGTGAAAAATAAACTTTTAAAATAGACCACTTTGTTATTTAGGACTCCCAACTCTATGTAAGTGTAGTTTTCACTTTTACAAACCCCAACTCGGACAAGGGTGTCAGTGATTTAATCTATATTCATTAATCAATCCATCCTCACTCTAGTTTCTTCATATTTGTTAAAGTATACATAATTATATTTAAAATAAAAGGCCCAGCTTCTTTTAAATTAGCAATTAATATGCCATTAGCCTTTTGATTCCATTTACAAAAAAATTCAAATGATATTTCCATATGGGATGCTGTTACTATATTTTTCAATAGTATCAACAGTCTGAGAACAAATAAAAGAAAGACATCGGTAGATAATCAAGAGAAATGAAGTACAAATGTATGATGGGAAACAAAATAACTATAGTTGCGACATAATATGCGAAAGACAGGCATATAAAAAGTGCACTGAAAGAAGCTGCATGAAATTTTAAAAAAAAAAAAAAAACAAAAAGAAGTGAAAAATAATATGTATTAATTTAAGGGGAAAATAGAATATATATTATACCTTTACTGTGACAGCCACAATCCCATTGTTTATCTGGTTGGGACAGAAATGAATTTTTTTTAGTACAGATAGTCTAAATGTTGTAGGATTATCATATAAAGTTTGATCAAACACAACTTACCATTTCTTGAAGGAGCAATGACTGATTTTGCTTCCATAAATAAGCCAGAGAAACAAGTCCCAATCTCGAACACACACTTTCCACCCGTAGTCTCTGATAATCTGATGCAATTGCACCAGAAGAAACTGCCGTAATGGAGGGTATCTGTCGTTTTACTTCATTTAACAAGATAAACATATCTTCAACTTCATCACCGGGAGTCATATTGTAGCTAAGATTATGATCCCTATTAATCCAAAATAACCATTAGAGAGTGAAAATCTATGAATATGTCAATTATTCGTGGAGCAAATTATACTTATCAAAAAAAAAATTCGTGGAGCAAATTAACTTCCTCTGAACTTCAATTTGAGAAGTTCTTGGTTGGAAATCTTGGACCTTTTAATATTTGGAAGTAGCAATTAGTTATAGATCTTCCAAAGACTTCAGCCTTCTTTGCATTTGAAATCTACCACAAGAATTGGCACAGAGCAAAACGCTACTTCTAACTGAAATCATTTAATGTTTAAAACAACACGACCATCTTCTATGACCTTAAACTGCTTTTTTAGTATATGATTCATCATATAAAGAACCTTACGGGCATTGGTTACACCAATAATGTGTCGCCTAGGAGGATCCATCTATCTCTAAGGTTAAGAAACTCGAACCTCAAATATATGCCATTAGAAATTAAACTTCTACTTGGGTTTAGCGTTGGTTCACTTCAAAAGTAATATATATTACATAAAAGTATAAAAGTATTTCAAAGAATTTTTTATTTATTTATTTTTGGATAAGTTCAAAGAAATTTTTTCTCATGGAAAATTATATGATAAAGAAAAAATATTATTAAGAAGCACTAAAACAGGAGCACCCCCTTGTAGACAGGAATTTTTTTTATATAAAAACAAATGTACGAAGTTATACTCTCATTCACCTAAAAAGTCAAAAGGAAAACGGAAAAAGAGGAATCTCTCAACAATGATTTCATTTTCGACATTCATGTCATTCAACATAATTAGAACACAGTATACATATCACTGAATGCAAATGAAATGGTTTTTAAAGCAGTAAATCAATTTTATATAAAACAAGAACTTCGATCGATCAAAACACTGATTGTCCCTCACTGTGTGAGTCAGCTCTGAGATCCAGGGTCGCAATACCTTTTCTTCAGGATCAGACCTAGGGTTGTAATACCTTTTCTTCATAACAAATTTAATCTACTTGGTCTAGGGTCCCATGGTTTATGAATATGTCAATTATACGTGGAGCAAATTACACGTAAAAAATTAACTTCCTCCGAACTTCAATTTGAGAAGTTCTTGGTTGGAAATCTTGGACCTTACAATATTTGGAAGTAGCAATTAGTTATAGATCTTCCAAAGACTACAGCCTTCTTTGCATTTGAAATCTACCACAAGAATTGGCACAAAGCAAAAAGCTACTTCTAACTGAAATCATTTAATGTTTAAAATAACACGACTATCTTCTATGACCTTAAACTGCTTTTTAGTATATGATTCATATAAAGAACCTTATGGGCATTGGTTACACCAAAAATGTGTCTCCTAGGAGGATCCATCTATCCCTAAGGTTAAGAAACTCGAACCTCAAATATATGCCATTAGAAATTAAACTTCTACTCTTTTTTTTGTTTTTTTGATAAGTAGAAATTAAACTTCTACTTTGGTTTAGCATTGGTTCACTTCAAAAGTAATATATATAACATAAAAGTATAAAAGTATTTCAAAGAATTTTTTTTTATTTATTTTTGGATAAGTTCAAAGAAATTTTTTCTCATGGAAAATTATATGATAAGAAAAATATTATTAAGAAGCACTAAAACAGGAACACCCCCATGTAGACAGGAATTTTTTTTATATAAAAACAAGTGTACGAAGTTAAACTCTCATTCACCTAAAAAGTCAAAAGGAAAAGGGAAAAAGAGGAATCTCTCAACAATGATTTTATTTTCGACATTCATGTCATTCAACATAATTAGAACACAGTATACATATCACTGAATGCAAATGAAATGGTTTTTAAAGCAGTAAATCAAGTTTATATAAAACAAGAACTTCGATCGATCAAAACACTAATTGTCCCTCACTGTGTGAGTCAGCTCCGAGACCCAAGGTTGCAATACCTTTTCTTCAGTATCAGACTTAGGGTTGTATTACCTTTTCTTCATAACAAATTTAATCTACTAGGTCTAGGGTCCCATGGTTTTTCCCCAATGGGGTTTTTCCACTATATGTCAGTGTTTTTATGTGAATGCCTTCATCCAAATTTTTGTGGCAACCAATTACTATCTACTTGATAATAGTTCGAGATTTTAACATTCAAATATTCAGTTAAAAATTTGTAAGACTAATTCACCCCCCTTCTAAGTCTAATTTAGGACTTGGAGTACTCTCAAGTATCACAACTTAGGGTGCAAGTCCTATGGCAACCTTTTGGGCGGGTGCGCCGTGGGCAGGTGCGCCGTGGAACTGGCAGACTACTACACTGGGCGAGCTACAAGTGCATCGTCTGGTGTGAAAAAGGGAAGTGCTATATATGTAGGTGTGTCACTTCAATTGGTATGAGGCTTTTTGGGATAAAACCAACGAGCAAAACCGTGCACACTCGAGCCCAAAACAAACAATATCATACCATGTGGTGGAGTGGGTCTTTACAAATGGAATCAAAACCTGACCCAGCCGGAAGTGTGGTCAACGGGGACGTTAAACCCCAAAGGGGGGTGATTGTGGCAACTTTGTGGGCGGGTGTGCCGTAGGTGGGTGCAAAAGGACACTGGGCGACCTACAGGTGCACAATCTCATATCGCCTAGGTTTGGAAAGGGAAAGTGCTATATATGTAGGCGTGTCACTCCAATTGATATAAAGCCTTTTGGAGTAAAACCCAAAAGCAAAACCGTGCGGACTCAGACCCAAAGCGGACAATATTATACCATGTAGTGGAATGGGTCGTTACAAGTCCTCCCTTCAAGAATGACGGTAGAGAGAGAATACTGAACCTACCTCCTTTCTACTAATAAGCTTCATTCACAATAGCTTATTCCACTAATAATCCAAGGCAATCTCTAGTCAAAACTAACAAAATCCATTCAGGATAAGACAGTGTTGTTAAAGGCGTGTTTAGGCTCAAGGCACAGGTCTAGTGCCTGTTGTCATCCCATGCTCACTGATGTTTACTAGGCGCGAGCCTCAGTTGCGCCTCGTCCTATTTGTCAGGCGCGCCTCACTGTTTTTTTTTATTATTATTATCATTTAAATGATTATTCTATCCCTTAAGCCAAAAAAGGTACTTGTGGCACTTAATAAACAAATAAGAAAGCCTAAGCATATGAGAGAAGGATCTTTTGATCAAAAGAATTAACAAATAAGAAAGTCCAAGACCAAACATAGAAAGAGTGAAACTGTGAGACCAACGACGAAGCCCTAGTGGCAGAGATGAACGATGAAACCATGTCAATTCTTTCTACTTATCTCTCCTCTCTTCTCCTCTACTCCTCTACTCTTCTCTTCTCATCTTTGTTTACTTCTTTCTCTCTGTCTTTTTTTCTGGGCTCTATTTTTTTCTCCTTTTTCTTCTTTAACACTTTCTCACTTCTCATCTACTTCTCTCTCTTCATCTATTTCTTCTATCTCATAGTCTTTTTCTTTTTTTTTTTTGGCTCTATTTTTTTTTTTCTTTTCTTGTTAACAATTTTTTTAATAGATTTATTTCTTTTGGTACTTTGTTTTGCCTTCAAAGAAAATAAATTTATGCTGTGTTTTATTGTTCTTGAATGCTTATATAGTTGATGGATTTACATTTTTATATTTGATTTTAATTTTTAGAATATTGGTATGACTTGTGAGATATGAATGCTCTATGGTAGTTTAAAATTTCAATTATGCGCCTCACTTCACTCAGGTGTAAGCCTCGCCATGCGCCTCACGCCTAGGCTCCAAAGGACCTCTAGCACCTTGGTGCGCCTTGAGCCTTTAATAACACTGGGATGAGATAATTGAGAAGTGCTTCTACCGTAGTATGTGATTGATGCTTCCACCGTATAAAGGTAAATTTTATAAAATGATTATTAGACCAACCATAAGTTGTCAAATAGATATGAACTAACATGTTCATTAAATGATCGGGATTGAAAAACAGATATTGAGATGGATGTGTAATATATATATATTGAACATAATGCCAAGGGAAGGGAAGGCCAAAATGGTCTCTATATACAGTCCAAATGAGCATAATATGGTCTACATTGGACATAATACTAGGGAAAGGAAAAGATCAAAATTAACATGATACCTTATTTTAAAAAAATGAACTCAAATAGTTTTATATATATATAGTGAAGAGCGATAGCTTAGATAGAGTAGATAGCGAAACATTATTCATAAAGCTGACCACAAAAACTTGAATATAAACTTTTTAGTTGAGTTGAACTTCTTTACTACTATGAGTACTATCCACAGCATAACGAATTTGCAAATATTGGTGCTTAGATATATAAAAATTAGGAAAGAAAAAAGGTGAAATATTTCAAAATAGTAGTCAAACTTTTTAGTTGAGTTGAACTTCCTTACTACTATGAGTACTATCCACAGCATAACGAATTTGCAAATATTGGTGCTTAGATATATAAATATTAGGAAAGAAAAAAGGTGAAATATTTCAAAATAGTAGTCTTTTAGTACCTTTTACGCTAATTCCTTAAAATTTACAATGAACTCTAGAAACACACAATGCCCTGGAATATCCAACATAGACTTCGGGCTTGTTCAAATGATCAATAATAAGTCTAAGCCAAAGCCAAGTACTAGATATAGCAATGTCTGTTGCACCATGAAACCAAACTACACGTAGGTCAATGGAACAAAAGGGAAGAACGTGGCTTTAAAGGTGAAATTACAGCTTATATAGTGTGTGTCCCACATCGCCTTTGGGGAGAGATTTAATGACACTTATATCCCCAAACTTTATAAACTCGTTTTGAGGAAACCCGTGAGCACCGAGAGGAGAGTGTGCAAAGCAAAAAATATATACACGGTGTGGGCTAGTTTAGAAGGTTACTAATGGTGAAGTACTTAAAATAATCTACAAGTCTTTGACAAGTCGCGTAAAAGCGACCACCCTGATGATAAGTAGGTGGCACCGTGGCAAATAACTTATGGTCTCCTAAATGAACTACATCTTATAATAGTGAATGATTTGACATCCAGTTCGCATTGGTAATTGATGTGAAAAGGTATCACCTAGTGTTTGTCCCACCCAATTGGGGTGCTGGGAGGGTAAAATTAGAGTAAACCTAACATTTGGCATTGTTTCTCAAAAAATGGTTACTCTTAACTCAAACTTGAATTTTTTTTTTTTTTCCCTAGTTGGTACTCGCACGCACATGTCTCTTCTGAGACTTGAACCCCTGACCTCCCTTTGGGAAGTAAGAGGACGATACCGCTAGGCCACTGGCCCGTTAGTTCAAACTTGCATTCCAATGCTTGTCCATCCAAACTTTTACCTTAATACCAAACAAAGACCGCTAGATTAGTTGTAAAGCCCACTCCACCACATAGTATGATATTGTCTGCTTTGCGCCTAAACCCGCACAATTTTGTTCTTAGGTTTTACCCCAAAAAGCCGTATACCATTCAAGATAGCACTAGCACATAAAAACACTTCACCTTCACCTTACCCAAGCAACGTGAAACTGTGCAACCTATAGCTCACCCAGTGTTTCTCGAACCCGCTCACGTCATACCCACCCACATAGGTCGCCACAATCACCCCTTTTAGGGGTTCAACATCCTCGTTGGCCACACTTCTGGCTGGACTTCAACTCAGATACCATTTGTAAGAGCCCACTCCACCAGATGGTATCATATTGTCCATTTTGGGCCTAAGCCTGCACGGTTTTGTTCTTGAGTTTTACCCCAGAAGGCCTCATACCATTAGAGATAGCACTAGCACATATAAGTACTTCACCTTCACCTTACTTAAGCGATGTGGGATCGTGCAAGCTGTAGCTCGCCCAGTGTTTCTCGCACCCGCCCACATAGGTTGCCAAATTAGCATTGGTGTAATCAATAGTTTAAGTTCCTTTCTTCGAGATATAATCATTAGTTAATTCTTTTTTTCCTTTTTTCAACTAAACTAGCTCTCAAAAGTGTCTAACAAATTCCACTTCCAACTTTATGGAATTCAAAATTATGATAAGAACCCCCTTATGGTATGATAAAAAAAAAAAAAATTATCAAGCATGACTACAAAAGTATCAAATAGTTATCAAGCGTGTCTAGAAAAGTATCAAACAAATTTCACTTTGTACTTTATGGATTTTATAATTAGAAAAATAACCCCCTTATGGTATGGTTATAAAAATGAGTGAGTGAATAGCGCAATTCAACTAGAAAACTAGAGAAGGCAAACATGAAATAGAAAGTTAAAATCCAAAGGGAGAAAGATAATATTCTTAATCCTGTAATGCAAAGAGAAACTGTAGCTTCCACGAATAAGATAATTGGTTTTACCAAAACTTCTCGCTTAAAACGCTTGCCTTGTTGATCCTTGTATTCGCCTTCGAAATAATGGCACTCCCATGCATTTTGCATAGCTGACAACTATCTGGTGCCCGACCTGAGGGGAACATTCAAAAGTCCTAACTCAGCAATGAAAAAGTAAATATCAAAATAAGAATTCAAGGTCCCTCATCTAAGCAAAAAATACCCTAAAAATCTGAAACATTTATTTGTAGAAACTAAACATGAGAGACATCTATAGAATCACACACCCAGGCACATGCACAAACTCAAACACAATTTCATCCTCTCAGATTTTAAAAAATTAAAAATCAGTTTTGTGGCATTTAATTAAAATTAGTCAAACTAATTCTATCTACAAGTTCACCTGGACAGCACCACCACATACAAGTGAACTTTTAATGAAAGCTAATTTTAATGCATCTGTACCAGTAATAAAAAATACAGTTCCTCAATTTAAAAAATAATGATTTTAGCGTTATTGATCCAAATTTGGAAATTTTAATCAGAAACACAAAAAGCATGCTAACATATTTTCTTCCAAATATTGAAATCAACATTTATAAGATGATTTCATGCAAACCTTGGCCATGTAACCTCTCTAGTGCAATTGGAGAATCGAAACTTCTCCACACAATTGCATAAATACATACATAAATGTGTCTTGTAAGAAATTAATATTCTTAAAAAAAAGAATAATCTAACAAGTGCAACATACATATTCAAGTGGTCTAAGCCCCACACAAGTTATTAAGAAGTATGTTCAAATTAATCCGTGTCACCTATAAATAATGAGCTTAAAAACAACAAGAGATTCATGCAATAATGTAATTATATAATATCATCAAATATGCCTATGATACATTCCCATTTGATCTAGGCTATTTAGGATTGGCCCACTTGTCCTTCAAGAATGTCTAGATGTTATTTTACGGAAGTGGTACTGGTGTCGCAACACCATACTCTTACTCATGAATTGATGTATTTTTACAATTAATTGTACATCTTCTAATATTCTTATATGTGTGTGAGCAAGCATTCATTGAACGATTAAATCGATGGAGTTATATACATAATTACATATATATATATATATATATATATATATATATATATATAGTGAGAGAGAGTAAAAAAAGCTTACAGTTTGATACATGTAGCTATCAAGCTCGTCCACTGAATCATCAGACGGCAACAAATTCGCCAATGCGACAATCTGAAGTAGAAAAAAAATATAGAATTCCATAACTAAAGAATTATATATATATATACACACAGAGTGAGAGAAGTTAAAGATTAGACCTGGTGGCCGTATTCGATACATTTCATCATGGCATAGCAGCTGTCCTTGCCGCCACTTACTAGTCCCACAACCTTCATCTCCGCCGCACGTCCGTCACCGGCCACCGACTGACCCACCGCACAACACGGGCTGATACGACAGCAAAAATCGTTCTGGTTGCCGTAGAAAGGGACCTTGGACGGCTTGGCTTATAGGGTTTTAATCAGATTCTAGTCGGAGTTCTCTCTCTCTCATGCGTATATATGTATATATATATATATATAATACTATTATTAATACTGTAGTGCACGCATTGACTAATGAGATCATTTTGATACCTACTACGAATATATATTATTATTTATTACTACATTTACATAATTTTTCTTTGTTACCTTCGCAAGTCACTTTCATGTTTAACGTGAAGTCACCGTTCAAATATGTCACTCTGGCTAAATAACCAAAATTGACCGAAGTCAGGTCTACCCTTTGACATGACCCAAAAGTAGTTTTTATTTTTTCTTCTAATATTTCTAGATGATCGATACAAGTTCAAAGATTGATTTTGAATTGAGCATCCCTTTAGTAAAGCTCAGTGTGAACTGAATTAACATTTTCATCAGTAGTTCAAATTATTCAGTTACAACTTAAATAGTCAGTTGCCTACTTTATTTTAATTTTGAGGACTTATTAAATGATTTTGCTCGTTTATACTATTTTACCCTTATCCTATATGTTATACACAATATCACTTTTGTTTGAAGAATATTGATGTCTAATTGGTTAATCTGGTACAATTGTCTCAAATTTAAAAGAACTATTACATGGTTTATAATCTTAAATATTAGTTTTTATAATTTGAGTGAAAAAATTTGGAAAAAGAAAAATGAATGAGAATTTAAACAGAATAGGAATGGAGTTTATTTGTAAATAATTTTGAACCGAAACAAAACCGAAGAACTTAAACCCGGAAGCAGGGATACAAGGGGGACCCCAACTCACCCCGCCCATTCCCTAATTGCAGATGTTCCCATCCCTACGTACTGGCTGCTACGTGGGTAGAGTGTCTTTGCACATTGATTCCCTCTCATCCTAAGGGGTATAAATAATATCTTATGCAATGTTTGGCAAATCGGGATCTTAAATTTGGAATTAAAAAAAAAAAAAAACAAAATAAATTTTTAATTAAATTTTCTCTAATCCCAAATCTAAAGCACCAATTTAATACTCTCGAACATAATATACTTTTTTAAATTTAGTAACCACTATAATAGCTACTAAATTGCAATGACTTTAAAAAACTAGAAATCAATTTTCTTAGGTTTTACAATCACAATGTTTATGGTTGTAGACTGAATTTGCATTTGTTAAAGGAGTAAGACCTCCTTGCACATTTAATACTTCCTTTTATCCCTTCAACCAATTATATTTTGTCACATATGTAAAAATACTTCATTTTAATATGTCATATCACCACGCGTCAGTATTTAATAAATTCGTAATACAATGTCATCACTACAACCGGGACGTAATTAAGTTTTTCTCATTAAGAGGATTGCTTGATCCAATTGCAATTCAACCAGCTACCCAAATCTAACTTAAAAGTAAAGGTTCCCAACAATTAAAGGGTGTTACTAATCAAGGAAGGTCAACAAGATCTTGATTATAGTTGATCTTTCGTAGTTTGTTGTCTCCAAAATTCATCTTCTTTTTCGTACCTCATTGTCATTCATCTTAATAATCCAGTTCTTGTAAAAGCTTAGGCAACAACTCGAATGGTTAAATGATAAGGAATTGAAGATTGTAGATGTATAAAACTCCCTCTCACAAGATAAATCCAGCATAGATCACTATCATGAAATTAAGAGGTCACTATTCAAGTCAGAATTGCAAAGAATTAAAGAAGCAAAAAAGAAAAAAAGAAAAAAGAAGGAAAGAAAAAAGAAAACAGAAGCAGCAGCAGCAGCAGCTCAGCACTCACCACATCTACCCTCATTCAGAATAGAAGCACTGGAGACCAACTTAAAACTCCCAAAAAAGAAAATCAACAAAAATGATATCTTACATCTAACAAAAAGCAAAGGCTCTAACATTGTGAACTGCTGTAAACTGTTTGATTAATTTCTTGTCAACCGATTAGCTCGCTCTTTGGCCAACGTCTAATTAGAGGCTTCCATTCAACACGGCTTTTTCTCGGCCAGAACACTGTTCACATCAAATAAACATCTAACTAGGCCAACCCAAGAATATCTTTGGTGGGATTGAAGGGGCCTGCTGACTCATCCGGTGAAATTGCTGTTTTTCCCATTTAGTCGCCAGCTTGACGTAAGAATTTAAAGCTTCTCAATAAACACCTGTAATTAAAGACGAATCCAGAAACAAAACAAGTGAGACGTTTCTGTAAGGATTAACAAAAGGAGCAGTAATATGTTATGTAGGATTGAAGTTAGCCATTCAAACTGCACTCCAAAATAAATTAAGCATCCGCTTTGCAGATCCTTAGTTTTCCCCGCAACATTTTAACACCTAAAGTAATCACGGAGAATCAAATGATCTAAATCATTTGGTCATCCTGACATCGTCAGACTCATCTGTTCTGCTAAATTTTTTGTCACTCTTATTAGTTAGCATGGACCCAACCATTCGAAACTCTACCATCTCGCATTTCTTTTAACTAATTTAATCAAATGAAACCAGCGATGCTTAGAATTAAATTCATTTTCACAATACGCTTCCTTCAGAAACTAGTAGCTCACCTGTTACAACTCAAAAGGGAGCCTCAAGTGATTCATCCCAAACATCTGCACTTCCATTGGAGGCATCTTCAGCATCTTCTTCCATTGAAAGCCTAATATATTCCCTGTGTGCAAAGCGATCCCACTCTGTCAAGGTGGGATTCTCGCGCTCCTGTACTCAATCAAACAGCATTGTGATCGTTACCAACACTGACTAACAGTTCTGCAAACATAATATCTTAAAGTGTGATAAAATAATTGCTAAGAATAAACATAAATGCATTGCATACCTGACGAATTAGGAAAGGATCACGAGTTTCAAAGGCCATGAACTTATTAAGGTTAAAGAGGATATTGAAGACGCTGCCCGAAAGTTTACTACCTTTCAAGTCACGTAGCGTAAAATAGTTCTCAGTCTGCAAGCAAGAAAATGTACTTGAAATGTCACATATCAATATTATCAATAGAAGATGCCAGCTAACTTAGCTGATAAGGCATGTTAGTGAAAATACCAAATGCACGGGTTCAAATTACTTTGAGCTTGAACATCGTCTTCCGTCATGCCTATTTTCAACTAAAGATTTGTTTGGGGTAATATTTTTAATGAATAAAGGCTTCTGATGACCGCATGAGTTCAGTTGATGCTACATGCTCCTACTTATAATACCAGTGTATGGTACAATTTTCTTCTCATCGTAGACTTAAAGTGATCTCAAAGACATGCAGGCATCACCAGCATTCAGGTAAAGTACAAAGAAAGAAAATCACAAGATATCAAGTAGGTAAATAGTCATCTCTACATCCATCCCTATTTAACTTTCTAAAAAGAAAAACGTGTCATAGGACACTCACTCTACAAAAATCCCTTCCTTAAACATAATTTGAGAATTTTTGGAATTGCACCACTGAAAACAAATTTACCATCTTATTTTAGCACTCATTGGAGAAAAAATTAGAAAAAATTAACTAAGATGTTCTGGTCCCGTGTAACAAAAACTAAGGAGAGAGAGCACCATGATTCATATTGAGGGTAAAGCTAAGAGAGGGAATATCAAAATCAATAAAAGTATGGTTTTACTAAAATTATGACCATAAATGGGAGCATAAAACAGATTCATATAGCCAACCCCAAATAGTTGGGAAAAGGTTTTGTTGATTTCAATTCAGTATTTTATAAGAAACATTAAATAGTTTCTGGGTAATATGGCAGGTGATTGCTAGAAATTGTGAACAATAATATGTGTGTGTGTGTGTAAGCCAGAAGGTCGTAAAATTTGATAGTAGGGGGCCTAGTGGCCATTAGAAGTCATCCTCAAAACTAGGGCAAAGTGAGAAAAACACCCCTAATGTTTAAATTTTGGGCAAATCTCACCCCTAAGGTTTTTTTTAAGTATATAAGTGCGTTAACTTTGAAAAAATGATCAAAGAAGGCCTTGAGGTCACTATTTGGTTACAAATTTAGTCATGTGCATTGCACATGACCTTTTTAAGATATAAAATTCTGAAAATACTCTTTTCTCTTCCAATAATGTCCTTGTATATAAGGAGGGAAAAAAAAAAAAGGGACACTTTAGTCATTTCACATTTAATTATTTTTTCACTCTTTTTTTTTATTCAGTTATAGAGGGAAACTTTAGTCTTTTCAGCATTCAGGTACTTGTTTGCTCAAAAATTGAATTTTATGGATTTTTCAAAACATATAGGGGGGTTATACACTCTATATGCATACCATAGGGGTGTTTTTCGCTCGCGACCCTCAAAACTATTTCCTCACTCACCTGAAACACTCAAAAAATGATGAAACCACTTATAATAATAAAAAATTAACAATTGTAAAAGATAAAATAGATTAACCTCTGGATTAATCATGTCAACGATTTGACACAAAATATCCTCAAACAGCACAGGTTCTTGGGCCATGCATTCCATTCGATGCAATTGCTCCTCATAGAAAAATTGCATTTCATTTCTTGTCAAGACGCCGTTTCCATCCAAATCTATGCACTTAAACCTGATCGGGAAATACAATGACACAGGTAACAGATCTAGTTGACTACACAACATACTACATAAATATAAACCAAAAAGGTTGTGAATGATTTCAATAATAAGTTCATTAATTTTCAACAATCCTCTTTGATGACTCATTATTAAAGGTGCCATCATCTTTGAAGATATTGTTCAAGTTAAATCTCTCTATAAATAGGAAGCATGTAGCAGAAATCGCTAAAAAGATAGATAGTTCCACAATTATACAGCATAATAAACTAAAGGAGTTCATGTATGCAAATATCTTTAAAATATACGTTGATGAGATAAACAACCCTTCCTATTGCATGGTTATCAAAATTGCAATCCTCACGATCCTACTATTCATATTAAAAAATTGATCCAGATCGTATAAAAAATCGCCAGAGGGTAGGATTTTGACAGAATCGCCATATGATCCTTCAAGATGGCCATCACCAAAGGATCGTAGTAGAATCACCCCATAAGATCGTTGAGGATCATTCAAAAATCTGATAATTTGTTTCTTTTCTTTATAGTATTTGAAACTAATTGCAAAGTACACTGATTTTAAGCCTTTTATAAACAATGTTATTTATTTATAGTATGTGTAAGTGGTAGGTTGTGTTAAAGAATTCGCTTGGTTTGTTTCATTAAAGGAGTAATTTTGGTCTTATAGGACATAAATTTTTGTAAGGTAAACATGAGAATGGAAGGATTTAAATTTTGGCCTTCTCATGTACACGCTGCTTGTAAATTGCATGGTGTTAGGGTACTTCTACCTTGTGAACTACATTATCAGATTCACTTCATGAACCTTTGCAAACGTGCATGTTCCATATGTTTATAATCATATATATAATTTTATACTTATAGTTTATGCTTGTCTAATTATTTTAAGAATTCCTTAGTAATGCATATAGTTTTTGTATTTTGCCCTCACTTTGTAGGATCTTATAATTCTTGATCTGATCCTATGGACCCCAAAAATCAATCCATAGTAAGATCCCAGTCCTAATAACCTTTCTTATTCATCACATAGACACTCCCAACCGTACCTGCTCCGACTTCTCTAGGTATTTAAGATTGATTATTTTTCAGAATTGTATCTATATTACTAGATAAGGTGCTTTTGCACTCAACTCAACTCAGTGAAGCCTTTTTCCAACTACTTGGAGTCAGCTACTTGAATCTCATTTTCCATTCCGCTCCATCTAAGGCCATAACTTCAACTGAACCACAAATTACCATATCTTTCTTTATCAATGTGAACCATGTCACTCTTCCTAACTGGTTCACATAGTGGTCTTAAATAGGGTGCTTTTGTATAAGAATACTGTTCATGGGTTGCCGTGGGTACTTTCAGCTAAAGGCTAATTTGTTCCTGGACTTACAGGACTTGAGAGAATTTTGGGCAGGGACAAATTCATTCTGTGATGAAGAAGATAGGGAAGAATACATAACTTGAAGTATGACTTCTCTAGGGGCCTGTGGAATCTGGATTTGGAAGACTAGCTATCATCACGGGCTTCCATCACAAATTCACAATTAAGACAATAATTAAGAAAAACAAATTAATTATTTATGGGATATTCTATCGTACTGACCAAGCATAAAAATATCAGTTCATAAGACAGCAGGTACCCCCCATGTTGAAAGCAGACTATTATCAATTAAAATTTTAAATTAGTGTGCCTTGGGGGTGCCGGGGCCTACACTGTGAGAATATAAATGAGCTAATAAGAGTTCCTAGAGAAAGCTTAGTGTTATATATTAGCTAATAGGAGTTCCTAGAGCTAATAAGAGTTCCTAGAAAAAGGTTGGCGTCATATCATGTGGTCCATGAGAATGAACATGAGAGTATTTTCAGAGTTATTTTCTCAATGTTTATGGATGAGAGAGATGTCATAAGCCTATAGATTCTGTTTTCAAAGTTTTGGGGGATTTTTCTACTTTCTTTCCGATTTGGTTGCTATCTTGCATACTTCTTGTCTACACGCCACACAAAGAACACAACGATTTAGCGTGATTTGACACAAGGTGTATCTATGTCCACGATGGAGATCCGGCGAAAAATTTCACTGCGCGAAAAACAGGAGATTACAATTTTCAGCCCCCAAATCCAAATCCAGGCCAAAACATCACATAAACATACTTGGGATCTACCTCCAAAGTGTTGTTGGTTGTTATTGAATATTTAATAGAGAAATGAGTGGAGGAAAATCTTCCTTGTTTCCTATTTTCTCTCTCTTTACATTCTCATAATTTCTTCTCCTGTACAAAGGAGCCTCCACCATTGTATTGTATAAGAATTGAGAGAGTACCATAAAACTGACGTAGCCCTTTGGGCTCTTTGTGCCATGGATGTAGGCCCTAGTGGCTGAACCGCGTAATATCTTTGTATTTTTCTCGTTTAATTACTCTTCACATACATTTTATGCTTTACAACAGTTGTCGTTGGGTTTTCACAATGAAAAATCCTGATGGCACTGTTGATCGTATAAAGGCTGACCTAGTTGTTAAGGGTTTCACTCTGACCTGTGGTATTAACTATACCGAGACTCTCTCCTTTGGCTAAGCTACACTCTATTTGCATAATTATCTCTCTTGCTTTTAATGCCAATCTTGACTGACCTCTTCATCAACTTGATGTCAAAAATGCTTTTCTTCACGGTAATCTTGCCACAACAGTATACATGGTTCAACCTCCTTGGTTTGAGTCCAAGGAGGAGTGTGTTTGTCAACTCAGGTAGTCTATTTTATGGACTCAACCAGTCAACTCGTGTATGGCTTGATAAATCTAGCAAGGTAGTGTTGCTCATGACATGACTAGAAGTCAAGCTGATCATTCAGTTTTCTTTAGAAAGACAGTGTGGCATTGTGATTTTGGTGGTATGTGGATGATGTCGTCATTACTGGGAATGACAAGAAGGGTATTCAAACCTTGATTCATCATTTAGGTTCGAATTTCCTCACTAAATATTTGGGCAAGCTCCGTTATTTTCTTGGTATTGAGGTTGAGAGATCAAAGAAAGGCATCTCTTTATCTAAGAAAAAATATACTCTTGATATCTCAAAGGGATACAGATTTATCTTTAGCTCTAAACCTGCAGAAACACACATGGAGACTAATCCTGAAGCTATTGTCTGATGTTGGTGACTTGACTTACAGAAAAGCTGATTTACGTAACCATTACTCGTCCAGATATTGCCTATGCAATCAATGTTGTGAGTCAATATATGGTCAGCCCATGAGTCCCTCGCATGGACGCGGTTATAGGGATTTTTAAGTATCTCAAAGGAGCTCTGGTTCGTGGTCTTCTCTATCAGTTTGCGTATCGAGGGTAACATTGATGCTGATTGGGCAGGTTCTCCTTTAGACTGACAGTCAACAACTGGTTACTGTACTTTTATAGGAGGTAATCTAGTAATTTGGAAAAGTAAGAAGCAGCCGGATGTGACACGGTCCAGTGCTAAAGTTAAGTACCATGCAATGGCTCATACTTCATGTGAACTAACTAGGCTGGGAACTCTATTACAAGAGTTTGGGTTTTTAATTCAAGACCAGATTGTGATAACCAGGCAACTATTCACAGTGACAGTAACGGGTTTTTCATGAGTGAACCAAACATATTGAGGTTGATTGTCATTTCATTCGTTCTAAGGTGACTTGCAAAGAAATTGTGACTTTGTCTGTATCGTCTGGTAATAAATAAGCAAATATCTTTACTAAGACTCTTCCAATACATGCCATCGATTCTATCTGCAGCAAGCTGGGAGTTGTTGACATCTACTCTCCAAACGCATTATATCTTAATCATTCAACATAAAATCTTGTTGCAAAGAAGAGAACTAGATTTAACAATCTAAAAAACAAACACAGTAATTATTCAAAAATGCCTTCAGCTTAGCATTGTCAAGTTGCCTTCAAAGTTAGCTCAAGAATCATGCACTGAGAACATGATTTATCAGCTACCAGAATAAATATTGCACAGAGATTACTATAGTATCCCTATGTTGTCAAATAAAAGGTGCAAACGTACCAATACTCAAGACTAGGCTCAGATGATTTATCCTCCTCTGACAGTATGAAGTAAACAAAATCTTCATATCCCATCTTACCCTCAACCTTGCTGGTAAACTTTCTTGGAACCTAAGACGATATCAAAGCAAAAATAAGTAGAAGAAAAGAGAGTTCACTAGCAAAGTATTGTTATTTTTGTATAAAGCAGCTACTTAGGCCTCTGAGGAACAAAAGCAATATCTGAATGACACAAACCTGGGAAAATATCCTATCAACAATCCTGTAAGTAAGCGCATGGTTACCATATCTGATAAGATTCTCTTTGTCGATCAAGAAATCATGATCCGTATCCAGCTCCCAGAACTTGCAGTATATCACATAGAAGTGTTCATAAGAAAAGTACCTGAAGAAAATTTTGAAGTACAAGAAGATATATCTATAAATATATAAAACAAAATGGTGATAAAAAAATAATATCAAATAGGAAAAGCATGCAATGCAAAGAAAATAAATGTTCTCTTTTTTCTTACAAAGAAACCACTAAGGGTGCAACAATTGCAGGAACAACCCAAATGAGGTGTACAAAACTCCATAAAATGATCAAGAGAATAACTCCTATCTCCCATTACAAAGTATTTATTAATTAAGCACAAACTATACATATTGTTAAATGAATGGAAGAAATTTCTGATATCATCCAAAACAACTTCAGTGAAGCATCAAAAAATTAAGACTAATATGCACAACAAAAATAAAATCAATCTTTCATGAGGAATTTAAAATGAGTAAAATACAACAATCTCCCTAAACGTTTATGACAAATTTTGTTAAGGGTCAGCATTGGTTAATGACAAAAGTTGCCGATGCTTCAAATAGAAATCTCAAATACCATTTTGGTTACCATAAATTGACTTGTCAACTGGAAAATATATTGAAAATTGGGGGGTAAAAAGTAAAATAACACGCTCTGACAATGACATTCAACTACACCGACTGATGGGGAAGGTCGGTGTCATCCCTAAAGACAAAGGGAAGGTGAGTAAAATCATGAGAAATGTCAATGGGAAGTCAATGTAATTTGCCCATTTAAGATACAGGTAAAGTAATCAACTGTTGCAAGAAAAATATTATAGCTGGGCCAGCATAGCTTACCAACTGATAACGAGAGTTAAAGAACAACACAAACTAAAGACGACTTATGAGCATTTCATAATTGATAGGAGCAGTTAGGAGCCTTGCCAAGCTTCCAGCTATATACATTCAATAGAGAAACCAAAAAGTATGAACAATTAAGACAATCTTTTAGCTGCTATCTCTACCTCAAAACTTTGTTGATGTCCTCTTCTTCATCTGCATGTTGCATTGCAGTAATCAAGTCGCCACGTTTCAACTCCTTGAGCGTAAGACGACCATTACCCAATCTATTCACGTAGTAAAATATTCTGTATATTACAGTTTCAGCTGGCCAGTTTCAACAAAATTAAATGTTAAAAATTCATCAATCGAATATGACATCTTTATTGGCACTAGGAATTGTGAAAAACAATCTAAACTTGATGACAATTAAGCCGCACAAAGTCAGTAAACGCATCTATGCTTGCTATCAACCAAATACAACACTCGTTTCCTGGCTCATGCAAGCAACAGATTAGGATGTTGCATAGCCAAGGAAAATACCATGCATACAACAAAATTCAAAAATGAAAGCAGCATGAAAACTACCTCAATTGAATTCATCATTGGAAGCTAAAGGAGAATATGGCTATATGTTACATTAACATATTCAGGGTAAGTGGGGAGTAAGAAAATTTAAGAATTATCATGTACAGGTATTATAGTAAAGGTGCTGCAAGGAGAAGGGCTGAAGAGATTTTTGTATGTCATGATATTTCCATAATCATTACCTGACCCAGTTTAAATTCACTGTGAAGCTATAGATATGCAAACTATACGACAGATCTATGGCACCACCAATTTTCTAACCATAAGGATGAATCACTGGAACAATAGACAACAGTGATGCTGATTCATTGCACCAAAAAGGACCAATTTTAATGAAGAATATTCGTGGGAAATTTTAACGTCCATGAGGTGCTTATTAATTTTTGTTTATATATGGTACATCTTAAAGCCCTGATCCCTGTGGTACATCTAAATCAATAAAACCCTTTTCATTGTGGTACATCTAAAACCCTGAAGTCAACACCAGACCCCTTGATGAGTTGAAAGGATCAGAAGCCTAATTCTCACTCCAGTAAAGTTTGGATAAAAGCCCTCTATCTTTGGTTGGTTATTTGTCTTAACAAGATTTCTATAATCGAATCAACTCAACGGTGTCTTTAAAAATAATTAATCCAAAACCATAAAATCTAAACCCCAGACTGGGGACAAGAATCTTGGGTAGTGACCCAGTTTAATCTAGTTTAACAAGTTAGCCAGAAATCAAAAGAAACTGCAACCCAGCAGCAGTATTGCATTCTAAGGAACTAACTCAGACATTGCAACATATTTTTTCCTGTGTTACAATGTATAGTAGTCCTATCAGAATGAAACTCGATAACCCATGTGCTCAATAGTTTTTCCTTAAAAACATAAACAGACATCAAGTATCTGGAGTTTTATGGTAGCAAAATGAAAGTAACAAACACAATCATAATATCAAATTGAGTCAATAATAAACAGATTTACCAACTGCGTAACATACCATATCTTTCTTGAAATTCAGGTGTGCTTTGTAAGAACTCCAACCCCGGGTGAGTTGCCAAAAGTTCTCGAAGCACGGCTTTGAAGTCATCCTATCGTCAAGCCAACAAACATATAAAACAACAGAGATGAAAAAGATTAGCTACCTGTTGACAGAACTATAGTTCAGCATATATGAAGATACTTCTGACAGTTTTGTAGCCACACAACGAGAACCCAATTTAAACTAATCTTTAAAGAAACTACAAGTAGCTTAGACAAGAAACAACAAACACAAAACATGATTGAAAGCCACCTGACTGAGGTATCTAGAATCTGGCTGTTTTAAGATTGTAAATATTTGGGTAGCTACATCCTTTGTCAACATGTTGCCATGGACCCAATAATCAACAAATGCATCCCTACAGGCATGTTAGTAAACAAAGTGAGAAAAAATACATACAACTAGGAAATGCAATACCAGTCAACAGAATACAACCAGGAACAGCTTATGTTGTTCCACATATAGCAACCCAGCTTCAACAATAATAAAAATACAGTCCAGATACAGTGAATATGAACAGAATTTTCATACTAACAATGAGAGGGAGGGGGAAGTTACTGAATACCAAATGAAAGCTGAAGTCTAATTCAACAGTGTTAGGCAGATAACAGAATGTCAAAAAATGATTATTATGCTACAGTTACATGTATGTTTTTGAATGACGTTTTCAGAACCCACACCCATATATATTTAACTTTTTTCTCTGAAGATGCCATGCAAGATACCAACAACCATGTCATTGTCCTATAAGTGCAGATAGCTAAAACGCAAAAACAGGATGAAGGCATGAAGTACATAACTATTTTATGTAAGTATTGGAATTAAGAAAAATATAACATTATTTGGTCCCCAGAAACATGAAGATAAGGAGTGACTATGAACGGTAAAAAACCATTACATTATTTATTCACTAGATTTCCTTCAAATGCATGTTTAAGGACACCATCCAATGGATAGACAAGCAATTATAATCAGGATCTAAAATACACAAGTAATAATGAAACAGCTCCTTGCATATTCATTCAGAATAATTCATACTCTTCTCCCATTAGCGCCCCCTACTGTCATAAAGTGCATCATTTTAATCAAGCATGTCACAAGTTCGGTAAGATCATGTGTTCATAAAGTTCATCATCTTACTCAAGCATGCCACAAGTTATGTAAGATCATGTGTCCATCAAGTGCATTTATATACCATGTGTAAAATCATTTATATAAGATCATGTGGTCATTCTACAATAAAGGGCAAGGAAAAAAACTAAACTATAATCTTGATCATCTTTCTCATCCATCCTTACCATGCAGCATTACTAGTGTTCTGCTTCACTAACCTAGTATAATAATTTGCTATTGCAGGTATTGGTTAATTGCCTCCACGACATCCCTTTTGTATTGGTAATATATTTTTGTGGGTTTAGTTAGCAGAGCAATATGATTGTTTTGTGGAATTTTGCATTTCTAGCTATTGTCTGCCTCGAAACAAATGTTAGAATCTTTCAGGAGAAGTAATTGTTAGTTGATATGTTGCAAGAGAAGGTTGTTTCATTAGCTGTCTATTTTGGTATCAGTTACTAAAGAATTTGAACGAGTCCCACTGGGAATCATCTTTAGTGATTGGAACCGATCCGCTCTTCCATTAGTTTTCTAATGAAGAAATAAAAGTTTTGGTCCCCTCCTAATGTAGAAAGCATCAAATTTAACTTTGATAGTTGTTCCCATCAGAATCCAAGTCAGCTTGACATTGGAAACACATTTATAGAGCATGATATAATATTCATTTCATTTCTCAAGGCCAGCTGGGACAGATTTTGCCATCAAAACTTAACTCCTTGCTCCTCTAGAACGCTTAAGAGGGCATACGAAATGGGATTGTCTAATATTTTGATTGAGGGAGACACTTTTGTGGTCATCAGCTTGACAAATTCAGGGCATCTGGTTCCAGGCATAACAGTCGAAAGATTTCAGATCCTAAATGTACTCATCTCTCTCTCTCTCTCTCTCTCTCTCTCTAACCCCCACAGGGTAGAAGATGGCATAAATTGAGATCTTTGGGGCGTCAAGCCTCATTACGATGAGTTTACTGATACCCGTGGTTTGGGGGTGATTGCAGGCATCCAAAGATATTAGACACTCCGTCACCAAAATCAATAAATAAATAAATGACCTGTTCTACAACATGAGAATTTTATTCTTGCTGCGGAACTTGCATAAAATGATGAAAATAAAGTATGTTCCTCGGCCATTTAGTTGTTTATTTTAATTTTAAAATGATATCTCAACACATTCAATGAGGCCTCAGAAGGGGCTTGAAACATTATCTAACTCAAGATATGTGGCACTGATGCTGGATATAATATCCATAACATCTAGGTCATGCAAGTTTCAGACCACTAAGTTCAAAAAGTACTGACCGGAGCACTTTTACTCTCATATAAGTTTATAGCGATGTTTACTGGGCTCGGTTATGGTTGGACATGGGTGCATGTCTAGGTGTCAGGTCCTTCTGATTGTCAAAGTTTGGGATACGCATCATATGTGGACATGGATAATATGTCAAAGAATCCTTGACACAATTGTTATAGGAGTTTAAAATGATGAACTAAGATTAAAGGCAAATTTGAAAGAGAACATAAGATATTGGGCAAATTTAAGAATAAGTATTATTTTTAGGTATTTTGAAGAAATATAAAAATTTGGGGGGCAAAACTGCAATGATAACCATTTTAACCTATTCGTTCTCCCTTCGTTTACAAGTTGCACCGCTGTAGAGGGATAAAAACCCAAGGTAATCAGGATCAGAATTCAACGTAGGATCGATGGAGGTTCTTTAACACTAGTACAAAAATAACATAAATCAACTTTCTAAATAAAATTATTTTCAAATAAATAGTAAATAAGGCAAAACACAATATCATCAACATTCTCGCAAATATCAATTAACATTAAAAGAACCTAAGAGAGCAAGCGTGACACACACTTAAACCAATTTCTTGATTTCCTCTATGCAAGAACGTCAACGTAACAACCTAAGCAGAATTTCATAGAAGCAATTAAGGCAAAGCCTAAACAAAGAGAAAAAATGGAACAAATAAATAGAGTAAAGAAGAGCAATTAAGGCAAAGCCTAAACAAAGAGAGAGAAAAGAAACACAGAAATATACAGAGTAGAACAATATAGTTGCCTGATTATCTAAACAATTATGTTGGAAAGACTATTTTTTGATTAAGAAGAAGAACAAAACAGAGAGAGAGAGAGAGACAGAGAGAGAATAAAGGGTTAAAAACAAAGTCCCTCTCTTTTTGTGCAGAATGGGCAAATAATAGGCGGAGAAACTGAGCCTTCATTTTTTTTTGTTTTAAAAAAGATGGAAAAAAATATAAAAATCAAGAGGTTTTGGGCAAAATAGAGAAATTTTTTAAAGTTTCGAGTCATACTTTTGAAGTTCAGAGTTGCATCGTGTTTACCTTTGAAGTTGGGTTTCCGCTTTTTTTTTATAAAAAATAAAATTAGACTGAAGTGTTGGGACATTATCCTTAAAAATCTTAAATTCTTTGCCAAGAATGGATTGTAAGCCCAAATAAATCCAAGAAATGAGCAAAACAACACGATTCAGTAGGATCGCAAGATCCTACAAGATTCTACGATCCTAAACTCGATCCTACTGCGATCCTACTTCCAAGCGATTCTTTATGTGATCTAGATCAATTTAGCGATTTGGGATCCTAGGATCGCCTGGATCAGGATTTTAACTACCATGATAAAACCCCAGCCCTAGCCACTTAGGGGACCCCCCAACCCACTGTCAAGAACTACCCCATCACCGAACCCAATTATGTTATCAGAATCTATCTTCGGCCCACCACTCTATATATCCTCCGACATAAATGCGCGCGCATCAATATCTAGAGATAGAGAGAACAGACACGAAGATGAAATGGGGATTCTACATGCATATTATGCAGATATCGCGGGTTGAAACCTGAGGTGTGGTTGCACAAAATGTGAGGGCAAAAGAGTTACTAATTGTAGCTTCTGGAAACCCTAAGGGTGATTTTAAATAGAAGGCATTTAAGAATAACAAATTAAGTAAATTAACACAGTGGCATTTAGTAAGTTAAACATATAACAAGGGTGGGCTGATACCCCTTGAACCTGTCCCTGGCCCCACCTGATTCAGCCTTCAGGTTTAGATTTTCCTCTCCATTTCCTCCCCTACCCCATTTATAGTATCCACGAAATTGATGTCAACAGATATGAAATTTGCTAGGATGCTTGAACCAACCTTTCTTTTATACAAGTAATGATTTTATGGAATCAACCATTATGTAGATACAAAATGGACACATTCATAAATTATTAATTTTGATAGAAATAAGAAGTAATTACCTGGTTATAATGCCAGTGCAGGCAACATCAATCTTTCTAAATAGAGCAGTAGAAAAGAAAGATGGAAGCTTGCAAATTTCCTTCGTAACTGGTTTAAATTCTGACATAAAAAATTATGATAAAATTAATTAAACTATTGACTTCCAAATAAACAAACAAATCAGTTTCCATACCGAGAATATATTTCAAGTATATCTCACCATTTATTTGTAGTCCATCTAAGTGGCCATAGAAAAACTGATTGATTCTAAACAAACACCGTTCCTTTAGTTCATTCGGAGGTGGACGACCATTTTGAAAGTAAAACTGAAAGTATTCCAATCAAAAGTTCAAAACCAATAAACAAGAATACTAATATTAAAAGCTAAGCACATACGGGGAGGGGGAATCATCAGAGATTGATCGAACCTGAGGTATTAATTCCTTTACTGGCTCACTAATTAATTTTAGAGGAGAACCCAGAGCTGAAGGCCCCACCCTCTGTTTCACAACACGAGGAGAACCGGATGAACTTCTTGGTGAAAGTGGCGGAGCACTGCCAGCAGGAAACATGGACGGCAATGAATTGATTGCGGCAGCATTTGGGCTAGAAGATGTCCCAGGGACATTCAGGGGAACACCTGCCTTTGCATTGTTAAGCAAAGATTTCACCTGCACCAACAGAGATAACTCTATAACTCATTGCTTTTCTAATATTGAGTTCTTTTTTTTTTTTTTTTTTTTTTGGGGGGGGGGGGGGTGGACACAGAGGCCAAAACCAAGGAAATCAAGAAAAGAAATACAATAAATACTAGATCATGAACAGTCCTACCATCGGAAGTGGTGAACTCGGGGCTATGGTGTTAGCAGTTCTAGCTTACCAATAACAAGGCCACAGGTTTCTAAACTTTCTATTTACCAAATATATATGAATGTTAAGGTTAAGGGCACTGCAAGACACAAACTGGGTTGTGTTTCTACTATTAGTAAGGCAAGTTCTACCAGAATTAACATCTTCTTTTCTTTTTAATCTTTTTTTTTTTTTTTTTTTACAACAGAAACCAATATGTTAATTCAGAAAAAATCATTAATGCAATGAAATATTTGGCAGATTTTCCAACATTTCCATTTACATCAGATAATGAATCTATAGTTCTGCACTTTTTTCCAATTTAAGCCCTGAGCACACCATAATATCTTCTGACTTATATCAAGATGCAACTGAAAACATATTCATTCAAGGTAGACTGATGCATGAGGGGAAGAAAGGAAGAGAAAGAAAATAGAAGATAAGAGAAGAAGGTAGATTTTCCGACATTTCCATTTACATCAGATAATGAATCTATAGTTCTGCACTTTTTTTCCAATTTAAGCCCTGCGCACACCATAATATCTTCCGACTTATATCAAGATGCAACTAAAAATATATCCATTCAAGTTAGACTGATGCATGAGGGGAAGAAAGGAAGAGAAAGAAAAAAGAAGAGAAGAGAAGAGAAGAAGAAAGAAGAAAGAAGAAGGGAAAAGAAAGAGAAAGACAGGAAAAGATTGCAAGGAGATGGGAATTTGTGACAAGGTCTATAGGTGGTGTCACTTCAGTGGAAGGTTCCCATCGATATTGAAAGTTGTGATTGTAGATTGAAAACTGGACCAAAGGATTGAATCAACATCTTGCTTCAACCTTCATCAATTACACGATATAAACAAGGTAAGCGACCTAAGAACCATAGGATCCGGAGTGAATAATGATAAACTTGAATTAAGTTGGATTTAATTTAACGCTAATTATAACTTAGTTTAATATAATTATAAATTTAAGTTGAATATTACGGAGTATTTCATTACGAATGCATTTGGAAAAATTTAAAGTTGGTTAGAAAACATATATTTTGAGTACAAGGTAAAAATCATTGTTTCAGGAAAGGATTTCAAATTGTGGAAATTGACCTTTGCGTCTTTAAGAAAATCATCAAAAATAAAATACTTGTAATTTCATGATGAAATTTATATTCAGAAACTAGATTTGATAAGCTTTCCAACAATATATTATATGCCTAATTTCAAGTCCGTTTGACCCCTCAATGGAGTGTCCAACATAAGGGTATATGCAATCAGGTTTAGCTGAAAAGGTGAATGTGGATCATCAAAGTTACTCCAAAATAGCTTGATCGATCAAGGAAAACCCAGTAGGTGTCGATCAGTCAAACCAATACCCAAAGTTGATCAAAGACGCATTTCCAAGTCCTAAAAGGTTTCTAAACTTTCCAAACCATCCCTAATCAATTTCTGACACCTCCAACACTATAAAAAGGTGCTCTAGGATTCTCTAAACACAAGCATAACAAAAGAAATAACTACACAATTGTGAGAGAGTTTGAGAGCTTTGTTGTCAATCACAAGCGAGGTTCCTCATAAATACCATATATTATTGTGTGATCGAGTTCCAAAGCGACAAGCTTCATTGAATACTTGAAGACTGGTCAACCACAACATTTACACATCAAAGCTTGGACGACTAGTCATTGGAGATAAAATCACTGGTTAAAGAAGCGGATCAAGTAAGCGGATCTGTTAACGAGCTAACTAGGTGTGTGCCTGGAGTCTCGAGTTTAGTGTTTCTAGTGTTTGGGAAACTCTTCACCTAGTTGTAAACTTCTTTCTCATAGTGGATTTGATTAGCCTGGACTAGGTCAGTTGGTTTTTCCCGTTGGAGTTTTCCACGTAAAAACCATGTGTTCATGTATGGTTTCATGATTTATTTATTTCTGATCTCTGTATTTAACTGATTCATATTGCTGTCTTTTAGATATAATAATTACAATGTAAAAACAGATACTATTAATCTATTAACCAATCTAAATCTTTATTAGGCATAGCACGTACTCTGACATATTAGCATAGTTGTTAAAGGCTCAAGGCGCACAAAATCGCAAATGCCTCCCGGAGCCTGAGGCGCAAGGCGAGGCGCGCGCCCGACTGAACCAAGGCGCACGTTGAAAAAAAAAAAAACAAAACCCACCCAATAAAGTATTATAGATGCAATAGTATATATAAAGATGCAAAAGTCAACTAAATAAATTACTTATGTTAAATATTCAACATAAAGATGCCAAAACCTTGATATCCATGTTTGCTAGATGTAAGTCTACGAACCAATATTAAAATAATATGTATATATATTAGTTAATTTCATTACCCCTGTCCATATATATTCTTGTAAGTTTGTAACTCTGCTTTTCCTGTGGTTTTGTATTTGCACAGACCAGAAAAAACCAAATTTGGTAAGTGTAGACTGATGCACCTTCAACCTTGATCTTATATTGGTGACAAGGTTAATTTAATGATGCAATGAAGACCTGCAGTTGTGTGTGTGAGAGACTGTGCAATTGGGATTACAAGGAATGGGTGATGTGATGATCCAAGTCTGTTCAACTAAAGAAATTTCATGCACAAAGCAGAAACGCATTGATTGTTCTATATAAAGTATGAAGTAAAGAGATTCGGATTATTTTTTTTTGACAAATTTAGGTGAGTAAGCCAACTGCCAACAAATCATTATCTCACTAATTATCATTATTCACTAATTATCGGCATATTAGAAAGATGAGGCAAAATAAATTGTGACACAATTAAGTTGAATCAACGAACTAGATTACTAGAATCCATTAAATCAACAAATTAAAAATATCAGTTACACTCATATATCATTGGGAATATATCCTATTAAATCCACAAAATTAGAAATAGGAAAGTTAAATTAGAGAGAGCCAAGAGAAGAAGAATAGAGGAAAAATAAAAAATAAAAAATAAAAAATAAAAAAATAAAAGAAGAGGAGACTAGAAAGAGCCAAGAGAGAAGAATAGAGAAAATAAATAAATAAAAACGAAGAGCCTAGACTCGGCTCAAAGAAAAAAAAAGAAAAAGAAAAATGAGCCTAGACTCGGCTCAAAGAAGAAAAAAATAAAAAAAATAAAAAGAAGAGCCTAGACTCGGCTCAAGGAAGAATAGAGAAAAAAAAATTAAAAAAGAAGAGCCTAGACTCGGCTCAAAGCAGAATAAAATAAAAAAATAAAAAGGAGCAAGAGAGTGACTAGAGTCACTAGAGCCGAGAGAAGAAGAAAAACTGAAGAGAAGAAGAAGAAGAAAAGAGAAAAAAAAAAATTGCCGAGAACTGAGAAGAGAAGAAGAAGCAAGAAGGAGAGAAGAAGAAGAAGGAGAAGAAGAAGAGAGGGAAGGATAACTTACCAGGCTTCGGCGCAGATGCAGATCTGGCAGATCCAGTCTTCGGCGCTTCACAGATCACTCGTACTTCTCTCTTCTCTGTCTCTTCAGTCTTGACTCTCTTCTTTCCACTTTCCTTTTGCTCTTTTATTCCTTTCTTTTCTTTTCTTTTTCTTTTTTTTTTTTATGCTTTTTAACTTGCAAGTTGTGTAGATTTTGTAATAAACAAATAAAAACAACAAATAAACAAATAAAAAACAGATACAAGTAACACAACCAAGATAATTAAAAAAAAAAAACCCATTTTTCACACAGGCGCGCCTGCATCTCGCCTGTAGCCTTGCGCCTTTGTCTAAGAGGCGCGCGCCTATCCCAAACCACTCGCCTTAAGTCAATCAAGGCGCCAAGGTGGCGCCTGGAGGCGCCTTGCGCCTCAGGCGCGCGCCTTCGGCGCCTTTAACAACTATGCATATTAGAGACTGGGATAACAGTCCTACAATTTTTTATCACTCCAAAATAGAATTCATAGTCCACCCAGTTCTTAAAAGCCTTGTATATAGGAAAACTCACACATTAATATAAAAGATAAAATATATATTTTCAAAAGACAAATAATATGAAAAAGATAACATAAATACTAAATAACCTAATTCCTAAAATATCCCTAAAAAATAAAGAAATATAAAAGATAACCCTAAAATTTCTCTCTTGTGCCTACGCCTTGCATAGTTGTGTATCATATGTACATGTGAGTCCCCTCTTGAATCCCATCATTTCTCCCCGTTCAGAAGAACATGCCTCTACAAAATTGTGGTAGTGCACTGCTCCAAGAGCTAGGATCAATCCACCCTTTTGCTTCTTTTTTTTTTTCCTAGAGGATCAAAAAAATGAATAGCTCCTTCAATAAATGTTAGGTCCACTGGCCTCCGCACCTAAACCTTAATCAGGTCAACATCACAGATCGATTTAAATACACAAGAAACATACTCAGTATGCAACTTCATATCAACATCTGCATGTCCTAACTGACAAAGACTGAGAAAGCCTGCACGGTAAGTACAAACTACAGGGAGCTTTAAATATATATTTCTCGGGGAGAATCTCCCCAGATTTGCGGTGCTTTATAAGGCCCATCAAAATATCCTTATTTCCATGCATTGAGAGAGGAATCCAAATACTTCCCACTCTATACATCGAGTGCTAGCAATTAGACCCTCATCTTGCTTAATTAGCATATGTCGGAGTGCATGACCAAATCCAAGGAAGACAGTCTCAACCTCCGGTAATGTCGCAAGGCCCGGCTTCTCTCCTACTGGAGGCATTTGATTGCATACCATATAGGCCAGAGGCACCATATCATGTATTGACTGCTTAAAACAACCTCATCCATTCAAGCACCTCCATGTTCTTTAGATGGACATCATGGACTAGAACATGGATCAAAATAGAAGTATGCAATCAGATTGCATGAAAAATCTTCAAGACGATGGTTACTAAAAATCATTATTCCAAACCTTTGAGGAAAATTTTCAACTCAAGATGTTAGAAGGTGGCTGGACCCGAACATCGATTGATCAATATGAATCTCGAGAAAGGATGGTTGACCGCTGCCTCCTTTTCCTAGAGGCTATCCAACCGTGGTTTAGAGTATAAAATTTCAAGATAGGTATCTGTTCCTACTTCAGTATCTTCATGCTACTTAGTTTGACAACAACATTGTCTTCATAGAATTTTAGTCATCCACGGTGTCATCAGTCCCTTCAAATCTCTGTTAAGCATCACAACCGTGTTAATTAAAACAAAACATCAATTAGATCATCAGAATCCACGTCAAGCATCACCATGCATGACCTAACCTTTGCAACCATGTTAAGCACCCAGATAGCCTTCACATAACAACAACCAGACAAATTAGACAACTTTTAAAGGCCATTACAGTTAGTTGAAAATTTTCTTTCACTTGTTCATCATTCCAAGGCCCATCACGAGCTGTGATTCTCCTAATATCACTGATGCAATAGAGGACTGGAACTTTCACGTCCAATCCGGGTGCCAAAATAATTCATTAGCAATGTAAATAAAAGAACTCCCTCACTGAGAATGCTTTAGAACTAGATTCCATTACAAATCATACGATCCTATAAGGAATATGATCTAAAATCGGGAACTTAACCCGAATAAGATCAATGAACCTTAAATCAAAACTTTATCTAAAATAAGATCCATTATCATAACTTAACCTAAAAAGGATAAATGGACCATTAGCACAGCCCATGTCCAGCAAATCTCCAAAAAAAAATAAAATAAAAAACCCTCAACTTCTTAACATTTGAAGGCATAAATAAATAAAAATATACCAACAACATACTAACATAAACTTAACACAAAATAAGACCTAGATTAAACCATAACAAGATTAGTCAAGGTCCAAAACAAACTCCGTGTGAAATTCCAAACTTGCTCCTTGTTATCCGGCTCAAGTCCTTTCATGGTCAGAAGGCCCGTAACTTTGACCATGTTTGTGTACATAACATGCAAAAACCAATGACCATAACCTTTCGCACTTTGTCTATTAAATGGAACGTGTTGGTTAAGCCAGAGTATTTACACCTCCTACACTCTTGGTTACTTGGTTTAGGCAAATGCAGAAGAAAGATGCTGCATTTAATGCTCACTTGTACCCCTACAGTCCATTTTGGAATAAAGTCAAGCTCCTTGCCTTTCTCCGGTCTTCACTTTTTCTCGAATTAAAAGGCTACACCTCTAATTGGAAAGGTAATTCCTATCCTTTGCCAACAAAATCTTCTATTCATGCTTTTTAGATTATTTTTCTCACCCTCTGTTTGAAGTTTTCTCACCCTTTGTTTGAAGTTGAGCTTTGAACATTGCCCACTTGATTTTAAATAAATAAATTTATATATATATAAAAAAAAAAAAAAAGGGTATTCAGATTATTTGGACACTGCAGCAGTATTACTGGGTTTTTACTTCTACCTGATCAGCAAAATACAAAGGGGCTCATGTTATGTTGCTTGCCCTCGGGAAGAGTCAGCACCATACAGAGAGCCAAATTATGAGCCAGGTAATCAAGGTGGTCACTTGGAATTTCTTACAATTTCTGATAATGCCGTACCATTTGTTTTCTATTTCATTTGTTCTTAAATTTATCAATATCATTTCCTAAACTAGGACCAAATTATAATAACAAAACTAATCCAAAAATGTAAAGCAACACTTTTGTTAAACTGGAAACCAGGATACTCTATAAACAACCAAAAAGGGCATAGTACAATGAACACCAATGCAATTGGATATGATGGGACCAAAAAAAAAAAAAAAATTAAATGAGGTGTTGATATAATTACCACAGGAGCAGTCTCGGGGAGAGAAAGCCATTGCTGGTACAGTTTTTCAGCGACGTAAGGGTTTGCTTTTATGGCCAAAGGAGACACCTCTGGAAGCTGCAACAATTCAGCGTCAAGACGCAACACATCCCCATTGTAATCCATATCCATCACAACCCAAATTCAATTTTCTCGCCCACAAAACCAAATCAACACAATCTTCAGATCTTGAAACCACTACGATCACCAAAACCTAAACAATCGACAATATCTCACATCACACCAGTTTCGTTCATTGCAAGCGAACTTGGAGCGTCAATGCCTTGAATTTTTAATTCAGGATATGGTAAACGTGATCAGATAGTACAGATTTGAAGCTCTGAAACTAGAAAAGGTCACAGATCTTCGTCGAATGAGGATCCAGCTTCGAATCTGACTACCGGAACCGATTGGGGATTGAGAGAGTAGGCAGATAAAACCCTAGAATCGAATTCTGTCAGATATAGGGAGAAGCGAATTTACAGGATATTTGGAAGAGGATTGAGAGATTCGATACCTCGAAACCCTTGAAGAGAGAGAGATAGAGAGAGAGTGCACAGTGTTTGTAAAATTAACACCTGAAATGAAACTCACAAAGACGAAGGACACGTCTGTGATTATCGACGGTCTTGGTCACGTGACAAAAACGTGATATGTTTACTGCTCACATTTGTTAAGGCTGTGTTTGGATGAGGCATTTTAGAAGGGAGTAAGACCAAAAAACAATATAGGAAAACTACCAAACTAGGCCCTGTTTGGTTTGCGGTTTTATTTTAACCCAAAACATAACAAAACATCTTTGGTAATGTTCATTTGTTACAAGATTTTTAAAAGTAAAAATACAAAAAACATATTTAATAAAAAAATATTGCAAGTTTAAAAAATATAATGATTAGTTTTAAAATGTCATTTAAGAATTTTTTTAATTTTTTTATTAGTGTTGAAATATCTAAAAATATCAAATTGATGTTTTTATTTCTATCGACTATTCACGAAACGTTTTGAAATTGTACAAAACAAAATATATTGTTCTAAAACTCTTTTTTTTATTATTGTTCACTATTATCATGCCCAACAAAAATTAAAAAATTGTACAAAACAAAATATATTGTTCTAAAACTCTTTTTTTTTTTTTATTGTTCACTATTATCATGCCCAACAAAAATTAAAAAATTAAAAACAAAACGCATATCAAACAAGCTCTAAAAGAGCATAGAAATCTGTTCAAACCATCAATTCATTCCTAATATATTAAATCTAATGATTTGGTTCGATTTCATAATTCAATGGTTCGGTTTATCATTCCAAATGTGGTGTGGTATCGTCATGAATGATTCTATTTACTATTTTATTTTTATTTTATCACATGTCTAAATAATCTTAACCTATTAATCACCTTGCAAATGTAGTAATCAATTTTAATTCTATAATTTTGTCTTATTACACATTCATCTCAATTTTATAAATTTTCTTTTTTTTAAAAAAAATTAAAACTATGAAAACATTAAACAATTTTTACATAACCGTACAAAAAAATAAATAAATAAAGGGTTTTCAGATAAGAATTTCATATTATTTATTCTGTTTCACTTCTCAAAAAATTTTAAAATGGATCAATCTTGACCCATAATTACCACATTTACGAAAAAGACAAAATGCTCTCTTCAAACCAAATTTTGCATGTCCAAATTTACCAGAAAATTACAGATTTGACTCGTGAATTCAACTTTCATGTATGTAAATGTCGTGAATCATGGCTTTAGTTTAAATATTATTTTCTTTTGAATAATACTTAGGTCCTCACTAATAGGAACTACACCATATCAATAATAAATAAATGTGTCATTTTTAATTATCAAATCAAATATGGTGGGGTAGATACCCACTTACCAAATCAGAAATCTCTAATTTTATAACTAAAATAAAATGTATTTATTTATTATTGGTCCACATCAACGATAAGTATGGTGTAGATCTACTATTGAGGACCTAAAATATGGCACAACAGGTAAGTTATGTGTGACGTGCATGTCTATGTCCAAATTTACACACCATTGTGACAACAGAAACTTTAGGTGTAAATGTTATATTGTGTTTTTATTCAACATATACAAATATCTTAATAACATAAAAACAATTTACAATTCCAAGCCAACGTCCAATTAAATAAATAATCGGTGTATGAACCCTAAGAAGATAGTTGTCGGATCCGAATGGAAAAATGAATGGGTATAAATGGGTGGGTATGCACTACTACCTTATAGATTAAGTTTTTGGATAAATAAATAAGCGTCCACCCGTTATAATTGATATCAGAACCAGACCCAGTTTTTGATTTGGTGTCACATCAAGCACCTGCCCGGAAGGCGTCCAGGTCTTCACTCCGGATTGGCAAGGATGGTCTGAGCCACAACAAGAGTTGGGGGAGAATGTTACAAGGGGGAGCTTGTCCCACAACAGATCCACTTTTGGATAAATGGGCAAACGCCTACCCATTACAATAGTCTAATAGCTCAGACATTCACCTCACAACTTCAAGGTCAGAAGTTCAAATTCCCTTGAGGCCACCCACAGGTGGAATTCCTCACAACTTCAAGGTCAGAAGTTCAAATTCCCTTGAGGCCACCCACAGGTGGAATTTTTCCAATAATTGTTCGGTAGATGCGAGATGGGAGACCGCATGTGCCAATTTATTGTTACTCATTTACCAGATAAGGTTTTTTAGCTTCAATCATCAAGGCAATTTCATCAGTACAATGAATTTAGGCCTCCAAATATAATTTCACCATAACATTCAGACACACTGCAAAATGTTTTCCTGGCTTGAAGCTGGAAATCACTCTCCATCAAAAGCTTGAAATTCAACTTTGAGCATCAAAAAAAAAAACTTTTTATAAAGTATAATGTGTGCCAATCAAACAATAACCAATGTACATCATTTTTTAGGACAACCAAATAAAATTAAAGAAAATATAAGAAGGGGATTCAATAGTTCTAGTTGTAAGTGATTCCCACAAGGAGTTCAAGTTTGCATCAAATTTATATTGTCAAAATGCACAATGTTAGAACCATAAACAAACTAAACGAGTGAGAAGTTCATCTAAAGAGGACAATGTTACAATCATCATGCCTCGAATATATTCACAAATTTCCACAGGAAAATTTACTTCCTCTTGATGACTCTACAACACATTATAATGGCCCTAGGAGGAGAACATTCGTTACAACATTCAGTTCTCAAAGAGAAACTTGTACATAACATTAGGATATCTGCCTATTACGATTCCAAAAATAATGGCGTAAGGGAGCTCTTTCCCAGTATAAGCAGCATCATCTTCCAATTATTCAAAAAAATTATTTACTTCCTCTTGTCTGTACCAATTGTGAGAAGCTCAAAGCTCCTGAGAGAATCATCACGCGGGCCTTTTGAGGCATTAAACCGGTGAAAAGATGTCATTTTGGGCTCGGACCCAGACTGGTTCCTTTGGCTGGTGGACAGGCGGCCACTGCCTGTGACCAACCGACCTGATCGACTTTCAGATGGCTCACCAGAAGAGCTTGGTCTGCCTCTTGAAATGACAGGCCTCTTTGATGTGCTACCATGCCGAGAGGTAGGTGTGCGGCCTCTCTCAGAATCTGGATGCTGATGAAGTAAAAATGTAGAGAAGTTCATTAGCACAGGCCAATAAACACAAGCAAGTTCATATTCGTAGGTTATATACAGTAATAAGACAACCATAAGAATTCTGAAGGTTAGCTGTGCACCTCCAACTTTCTTCTAATTGATGCAACATTTGTATAAATAAAAATAAAAAAGAAGTAAAGAAATGTGTACATTCTATTGTAGATTCCATGGTTTTCATACTGTTTAGCACAATATACTTGTGATTTTAATTAATCCTCGCTAATCATATCCTAGTAAACAGCTTCAGATACAATTCTAAATACACAGAAAATACACACATCAAATTATTTTCGTTTCCATACACATGAAGGTTTATATGTCAAAGACACTCCATTAAATCTTACATTAACATTCAAGATTTCTACAATGTTAGTTCACAAAAATGTAACATTTGCAACCTTGACAGGTAAAAGCAAAATTCAATATCACACACAAATATGGTTTTAACTGATGTCACTATCTGGAAAACCATGAAATTCATACAACCAAAACTAAATATTACAATGTTTAATGCCTCGGTTCAATTTTCAAAATTTCACCATTTGTCAAATAGAGAAAAATACTTGTGATCTAAAAAAGGTAACACTATAACTAATTGAAATAAAAAAAATTATATATATATATATGTATGTATATGTAGAAAGAAAACCCAAAAGACTTTCTGGTGATCCTAAGGGCTTTGAAGCAACTATATAGTTGTTTTCAGTTTTATTGGTTAAAGAAAGAAATGCAGCAGCTTATGATAGATTTCTTATTATTATAATGTAGTAGTCATATTATCATGGGCTGCCTAAGTTGCACCATAATTTTATAACTGATATTGATTTCCTATTATTATTATTTTTTTGATAAGTAAAATTGTATAAAAAGCGCTCAAAAGGGGAGCAAATCCCAAGAGAATACACAATGCCAAAAAGAGCCTCTAAGCCTTCAAAGAGGCCAAAAAATCGACAACTAAATTATTATTATTACGGAGTTGCTTCAGTCCAATGACAACTAAATTATAGGATTACTGTTATATACCTGGATATTTCTGCTTCTTAGATTGACAAAAGGTAATAATACTATTACATATATGATCACATATATATATTAAGAAAATTAAAATATACATATATATATTTATTATATATGATTTCCTAGCCATATTTTTCAGGATTTACATGTGATACCAAATTCATATCGTGTCATATGATCATATGTATATCCTATATCCATGCTTCATAGGACCATGGCCTAATAAGAAAATCCTTTTAAGAGTAAAAAGAATGGTTCTCTCAACAAGTATACGAGAATAATACAGTTATCTTAGCCTTTCCTTGTGAAGAAGGCTAACAGTTAAGGCTATAATTTAAGGCAATGAACACATTACAAGTGATTTAAATTTGGAGCTACGTGTACACTCTCTATTTATTTGGTGGCACTATTACTTACGAAGTCAACATTTTTTGCCATTTTAATATGATTGGTGAAAATACCTATTCTCCTACTCATGAAAAAAAAATTATGCAATATCATCATCAAACTTCCACCAACAAATGGCCTCCTGAATTCATTGATCCCAAGGATTCTGCTCCACTCTGAATATTCTTTTATTTGTAAAAACTCCTTTCTCTGTAATAAGTCTGAAAGCAACACCGACTTTATGTGATTGTCCCAATCATGTTTCTAGAGACTGGCTTAGATGCCTGTTGATCAAAAGCTTCCACGTTTTAATGGATTCTAATCAAGTAACATGATTTGTGTTAAAATCCAGCCATGAGTTCTATTGCATCAGACTGTTAGGCATCGGTGCTACCTCAGCCGCCAATGATAGTGGCACCACTAAGATTAACTATGTTCAAAGTCCGATATGTGCAAAGTCCATGTTGTCAAATCCAACTACAAATGGAATTAAACTATTCAGTAACAAGAACCAGAATCATACCACTCCTATCAATCCTTCTTACTCCCAAACAGTTGATTAAGATGAAAATCAGAACCAAAACCAAGTGACTGTCTGGTCTGGGCACTAAACCAGCCTTCCTCTGCCTCTCAGTGCCAGAATCTTCAAATCAGCATCTAATCCACTTCAGCCATTCTTTATTACCACGCTCAAACTATGCAATGGCATACTGACGTGAATACAACAAAGGTAGCTGAATTTCCTTGGTTTTGTGTTCATACTAGAGAAACAATTTTGAATTCTAAATAACTTCATATATTTCCACAATTATCAATTTCACTTAATGCAACAAGAAATACTTGCCCATTCTTTTATGGTGCAGATTTTTATTTTTTTTACTTCCATGTAATAAATCAACTAAGTTTATAATTTTAAAGTGACACGTTATTTGGATTTAGTTACAAGAAAACTATTTCAGTTAGATTGTCTTAGATGATAACGCCACTCATGGTATCGAACAGTAGTGCTTAAACCTCTTGCGGTCAATTTTGATGATCTGCAGTTGACAACTATATTAAATAACCTTTCTTTTATTATTTTAAATTAATACTAAGTTCATCTTTTATTGAGATTGTAATCCAATGGCCTAATTGTCTGCATTCGAGTTTGCTCTTGCTTCCTCAAATACTACGCATCCATCTATCCTTTTCCAGGTCAATAGTGCAACTAACCAAACGGATTGTCCATAAAATTAATAGCTTGTCAGAGGAATATCTAGGGCCTGTTTAGTTCAGTTTTCTGAAAACAATTTTCTGTTTTATGTTGTCTTTAATAGTTCTCTTGACTGAGTTCTTAAGAACTGTTTTTAGAACTGAACCAAACAGACCCTTAGTCACTAGAATCTCAAATTTTCATATATACCAAATCTTACATTCTGCCAAAGGGATTTAGCATCCATCATTTTATTAATTTAACATTTTGCATGTGTTGGGGGGAGGGGACATGGAGGAGATTCCTTCAAATCAATCTGTTCACTAGGCCATATGAAAACTTTGCAAACTCCTTTTTCTGTTTCTCTCCCCCGTATATGCTTCAGTTTGTGATGCACAGCGACTTCAGATCATCATCAACAATTATGACAAAGAAATATTTCATTCAGTGTTCATCTCTGCTTTGAAAACATCCGGATGATGACCTCAAAATTTGGGAAGGGGATAAGTTGTTAGCCTAATTATGATCTACTGCTTAAGGAAGAAAAATAAATAGATTCATGCTATACTTATACTGTTTAACACTTGTCATATTAATTATTTTTATCAACTTAATTTGCTATTCAGGATGCCCAAAGTCAATGATTTTTAAGGACAAAGCTGCATTTATAATCTATGAAGAGGCACACTAAGATCAAATCCATACAGTAAAATGAAAGGGAAGAAAGCCAAAAGAACAGAGAAATTAAGAACTCAATAAACAAATAGAAAAAAAAAAATTAAAAATAGTATTGCCATAAATTACCACATCCTTTGATGATGGTACAGCCTCTGATGCTTTGTGCTTCGAATAATCACCATGCAGTCCAGCACCCGAAGTGTTCCTTCTGGTAAATGCTTCCATCGCACCAGAGAATTTATCACGAATCTCTTGTCCCACTGGATAACATGCATAAAACCACGTAGAAAAACATTAAAATTTATTATTAAAAAATATATATATAAAACAAACTTATATTCGGAAATAAAAAAATGAAAAAAAAACGTACTTATTTTTCCAACAGAAATAACCCATCTTTCTAATGTGATTCTATGAGCCTGTTTCCTATTGTTTTTTTTTTTTTTTTTGATAAGTACAAATATATTAGAAAAACGTTCAAAAGGGGAACGCATCCCTAATACAAGAGAAAAGATCTAAGGACCAATAGAATCCAAGAGATCAAAGAAATCATCAATCGAGGAGCATGTACTTCCTCTAACATAAAAGAATAAAGAACGAAGAATATGAATTTTTAAATTAGCTAAGGACGATTCTTTTCCTTCAAAGGATCTGTTATTTCTCTCACGCCACAAACACCACCAGACACAATGAGGAACAATCTTCCAATAAGCACGAGCTTGTTTCTTAACAGGACAATTTTTCCAAGCGTTAATCAACTGAGAGGAGTGCTTAGGCATTACCCAAAAAATGCCGAAAATGCTGAAAATAAAACTCCAACAACCAAACGCCACAGGACAATGCAAAAGAATATGATCCACGGATTCACTATCATCTTTGCATAAACAACACCAATTAACAATGATGTTGCCTCTCTTTCTCAAATTGTCCAAAGTCAAAATCTTCCCCAATGTAGCTGTCCAAGCGAAGAACGCGATTCGAAGAGGGGCTTTAGAGCACCACACGGACTTCCAAGGAAACTCAGAACCAACGAAATTGGATAAATGAATAAACATAGAGCGGACATCATACCGACCATGAGCCAAAGGAACCCACAAAATGTCATCACACCCTCTGCCAATATCCTTCTGCCTATACAAAATATCCAAAAAAGCAGAAACTTCCTCCATTTCCCAATCCTGAAAAGACCGCCTAAACCGCACATCCCACGTAACTCCATTGTTATCAAGATGATAACAATCAATCACGAAAACATGCTTATTAGTTGCAATGCTATAAAGCCTAGGAAATGAGTGTGAAAGCAACTGGTCGCCACACCAAAGATCCTCCCAAAAACGAACATGCCTGCCATTACGAACTTTGAATCTAATAAGAGTAGAGAAAACATCCCATCCCTTCCGAATAAATTTCCACAAACCAACGCCTCCCGTAATAGTGACTGGAAGAGATGACCAACCCCCACTCCCCTCACCAAAACGACACGAGACAACTCTTCTCCACTGACGATGTCGTTCCCTTCCAAATCGCCATAACCACTTTCCTAAGAGAGCACGATTAAAAGGAACAATTTTTCGAATGCCTAACCCTCCGAATCTCAATGGTTGGCAAACTTGATCCCAATTAACAAGATGATACTTAAACTCCTCTCCCCTTCCACCCCACAGAAAATCCCTCTGAATTTTTTCAATTCTATCAGCAACAGAACATGGAATTTGAAACAAAGATAAAAAATAGGTAGGAAGGGATGAAAGAGTACTCTTTATAAGTGTGACTTTCCCACCCTTAGATAGATACTGCTTTTTCCATCTTGCTAATCTTTTCTCATATCTATTAATCACTGAGTCCCAATTCCCAACCAGAGTAGAAGAAACTCCCAAAGGCAATCCTAAATAAGGAAGAGGAAAAGAACCAACTCCGCACCCTAAAACAGCAGCTAAGGAGGAAATATCTGGAACATCCCCCACTGGAACAAGCACACTCTTTCCGACATTAATCTTAAGCCCAGAAACTGCTTGGAAGCAAGCAAGAGTGCACCTCAGATATATGAGTTGAGAAATATCAGCATCACAAAATACCAAAGTATCATCAGCAAATAAAAGATGGAAAATCTGGATCTGATGATCAACATCTCTGCCAACTCTGAACCCCCTAATGTAACCCAAATCTTCCGCTTTTCTCATTAATCTAGTCAGACCTTCCATAACGATGAGAAAAAGAAAAGAAGATAATGGATCACCTTGTCGCAGACCACGTGAGCTAGCAAAAAAACCCGCAGGAGAGCCATTCACAAGAACATAAAACATAACTGATGAGATACAAGTGTCAATCCATTTTATCCATCTATCACCAAATCCCATCCTCCGAAGAAGATACAAAACAAACTTCCAATTAACATGATCATAAGCTTTCTCGATATCAAGCTTACACAAAACGCCAGGAACCCCGCTTCTTAATCTAGAGTCAACACATTCCCCAGCAATAAGAACAGAATCCAAAATCTGCCTTCCACCAACAAAAGCGTTCTGCGATTCTGAGATAAGACCATCCAACACTTTACTCATCCTGGAAACAAGAACCTTGGCAATAAGCTTATACATACATCCGATTAAGCTAATTGGCCGAAAATCCTTGATATCAGATGCACCGCCCTTTTTAGGGATGAGAGCAATAAAAGATGCATTCAAAGATTTTTCAAATGTGCCATGAAAATAAAAATCCTGAAAAGTACTCATCACCTCCTCTCGCACCACCTCCCAACTCTCCTTAAAAAAGCGCATAGTAAATCCGTCTGGCCCTGGTGCTTTGTCCCCGTTGCAACTAGAAAGTGCCTTAAGCACTTCCTCTTCCGTGAATGGAATCTCAATACTATCCCTATCCATCGCAGAAATAGTATTAAATGGAAGACCATCAAGAGTAGGTCTTCGATCCAAAGTTTCAGTGTAAAGCTGCTGGTAAAAAGAAGCAATTCCTCCGCGCACATCTTCTTCTCTCCACAAATCAAAACCATTAACCCGAATACTTCCGATATGATTACACCTTCTGTGAGCATTGGCCAGTCTATGAAAGAATTTTGTATTCCGATCACCATCTTTTAACCACAAAGCCCGAGACTTTTGATGCCACGAAATCTCCTCCATATGAGCAATCTCAGCAAAAACCGCTTGACAAGAGGCTCTTTGAGAGCGTAAAGACTCCCTACTCTGTCCCACCTCAGCTAAACGATCAAGCTCAGCAATATCAGCAAGGGCTCTATTCTTTTTCCATTCAAGATTCCCAAAAACTTCTTTATTCCATCTCTTAAGCTCAGTTTTAAGAAACTGAAGCTTTCTAGCTAACACAAAACTAGCAGAGCCTGTGAAAGACCCTTTTTGCCACCAAGACTGAACCTTCCCTTGAAAGTCTTCAGATCTAAGCCACATGTTTTCGAATCTGAAAGGAGTGCGTCTAGACCTCAAACCACCACAATCCAAAACAAGAGGTACATGATCAGATGTGACTCTAACCAACACAGCCTGAGAGACATCCGGGAAATGCTCTTCCCAAGCCCCAGAAATCAGGAAACGATCCAATCGAGAAAAAGTAACCGGTTCCCTACCATTAGACCAAGTAAAAGCCGCTCCTTCCAACGGAAGATCGATAAGAAAATTATTGTCAATAAATTCTGAAAACATGGTCATTTCTGAAGACCACCTACCTCCTGTGGATCTCTCAAATGGGGATCTAACAGAGTTAAAATCCCCACCTAAGCACCAAGGCAATGACCATAAGTCCTTAACAAAGCAAAGCTCTTCCCACAGGACTGGTTTATCACTATCAGTAACAGGCCCATACACACCTGAAAACGTCCATTTGAAATTGTCTTCTTCCATCTGAAACATGCATGACACCGAGAAAATACCCTTCCAACAGTTCAAACTTGACAACCATCTACGATCCCACATGAGGAGAATACCACCTGTAGTGCCTGTTGCATTTAAAACTTCAAAGTCCACAAACCTACATCCCCAAAGACTCCTGACAATCTCAACAGTAATATCAGCCAATTTAGTTTCTTGTAAGCAGACAACATGAGCACTCCACTTCCTCAAAGCGACCTTGATAACTCTTCTTCTTTTCGGGTCATTAAGACCACGAACATTCCATGCTATAAGTCGTAGCTTCATGAAGAACCAAAAACAATCAATTCACCTCCTCCCCTTTTACCACTCCTGGTTCTCCCCCTTTCTTTGGTCGACCCATTCTTTCCATCGTAGTTAACACAAGAAATCAAATTCTTCACTTCCTGTTCGCCTTTCCGATGTGAATTTCTGACTTTGACTTCTTTTGTGTCACGAATAGGTTCACTGCTACCATTTCCTGCAATAATTTCGTGGAGAATACACAGGGTTTGTTCCTCATAACCTTCTGCAGAGACACCCAAAGCTTCACTAACTGCTCCAACATTCTCGATGACCCATTCCATGCCCAGATCAGTGGTTGTCTCCAAATAATCAGGCCGCACAACAGCCAAAGGTTCCATAAAGTCCACTTCATCGTGAACAGGATCTGTCCCGGAAAAAGATACGTTAAAAGGGTGCTACTGAAGAGCAACATCAACCTCTCCTTCCTGTAAAATCCCCTCTATTTCCGAAGCATTAACTTCTTTGGATGGGATTACTGAAAACTCCTCATGCTCAGATGAAAAATTCCTCAAACCTTTAACTGAAGTAAATAGCCGAAGCTCTTTAAGCAAAGCTACGGCTGAATCATTATTCAATTTGAAATGCAAATCTTTTCCAACACAAACTGTCACTCCATTGAAAAAACTCGTACTCTCGGTAGTAACCTTTGAGACGTCCAACTCTGATTTAGAAGTCGAAATCCCAATGATACTTCTCTGTTGACCCGAAACATTCTCAACAACATTCCTGTCGCTAGCCACTTCACCCGAAGAAGAAGGAGAAGAAGTAGAAAGAGTGTTGAGAGAAAGATTAGGACTCAAACCTGGAGAAGAAGTGCGAGAACGTGCGACCCATTTCTGCTTTTCATTCCGAGTCCACCGAGATCCATGGCGTCCGACATTCGTCAATCTCCTCTCGGATTTCATCCAAATATTAGAGGGTTTGGTATGGGCTTGTGATTCATTAGGACCAGGTTTGATGTTTGTAAGTGAGATAGATAATGAGTTAGGCCCTTTTCGTACCTTTCTAATAGGCCCAGACTTGAGAGGCCCAGTTTGGAGTTGCCCAGTTTGACCAAATCTTAGTGGCCCTTTCTGTAGTCTTCTTCTAACAGGCCCAGAACCCAAATACGCTCTGTAAGGTTGAGATTCAATGAGCCCATGATTATCAGGCCCAAATTTCCTAACCTGTCTTGATAACTTATGGCCCAAAGTAAAACCTTTATCAGCCCGAAAATAATCCTTCCCTACCTTATCTTCAAGAGATAAGGATAAAGCTGAATCTGAAGGGGTAGCCCACCGTTCACCACGTGTACACCGGTGTTGCTCATCAACGACGCGTTTGCTCGGCGTGTGAATCTCACCTCGTCGTCTACCTCCAATAAACTTCACCTTTTGCTGAATTTCACGATCCTTCAGCCATTGTTGAATTTCGAGAATCCCTTCTTCACCTTTGCTAAGAAGCTCGTTCCATTTTTCTTCCGACATAAGATGAGATCCGTCACTGCCTTCTAGACTTTCCGTTGAAGGAACAAGCTCCGGCGAAATTTCTTCCCAAATCGCGACCTTGTAGCAGAAAGTGTCGTCGTTGATATACACAAACTTCGGACAATCACGACCAACTCGTACTATTATCCGAACGCTTTCAGCATCCCTGGTCTCATCCGCGTCAGATCTGACATAACCACCACAAAGTTCTCCCACTTCGACGAACAGAGCATGGCACCATAAATGTAATGGAAGTCCAAACAACCGGATTTGCTTGAGACCTTGATCACTGAGAACGCCACGGCAACCAACACGAAAGGACCACACATCGATCCTCAAAGTTGCAGAACCCCATTGTCTTCGCCCTTCTTTCAACACACGTTTGGCCTCTGCCTGAGAAGGAAACCGGAAAAGAAGCATTGAATCGGATAACGGTGAAACCCCCACTCCACAAGTCGTATTCCAAGCCCTCGCTGCCCATTCTTTCACGCGATCGCAACTCCCCACTTCCTTGTCAAATTTTCCTACCAAACAAGAGGAGAGAACAGATATCCTTCCTCCGACGGATTCCCCGTCGATATACAACGACGGACCGCGATGAGGAACCGCCGACTTCACATCTCCCCCAAGCGAAATTCTTGGTAACCTTGCGATGTCCAGAAAAGATTTCATTCCAAACAACCAAAACACAGATCGCCTCACAAATCGCCCCTAGTGGGGTGAAATCGCACATCCTGTTTCCTATTGTTTTTCAAGGCTCACTTTTTTCATTTATGAAATGGATTACAATTTTGAAACGCATTTTAGTCTCAGTTCCCCATGGACCCATGTACTTAGAAAGGCCTAAAAACAGCCTGGTTTCAGAAATTTTTTCAAGAACAAATTTTGAAAACACTGCAAGACAGTATTTTTTTCTCATAAATTTTCATTCTTCAAATTTCAAGAACTGGAAACTGCTTTCGGATACAACACTGAACAGACCCTAAAAGACTTTAAACACTTCAAAAGGGATCTCAAAGACTCCTTATAAATTGCAACCTGCAAACCTCAACCTATATATCAGAACTTTGGAGGGCTTAACTTGATCAAGCACTTACATAGTAAAAAAATTAGAATTGAGAACATTTTATTTCAAAAATTGTAGTTTGACGGTGTCAGTTGATCAAACGTGGCACTCACATCTCAACATTGACTTGTCTAAAAAGGAAAAGTTAGGTTGCATCGGCCCACATACCGGTTACGGACACAACAAGATACAAAACTATGTTACACAGACTAACTTAGGTGTGCCAAGTGTTGGTATGTGTCGAAGTGTTGGATGTATCAAATCACCAAACAAAAGGACACTGCTAAATAGTAAATACCAATATCATTTAATATTTTACTTTTATTTTCTGGAGAATAATAATCTTTTTATGGAAAACATAGGCATTTCCCTCTTTTTAATATACAAAAAAGGTAATGAAATTGAATTATCATATCTACTTTTTAGGTGCACAATCAAATATTTCAAATACATATCCCATAAATACATCCATATGTTGTATGTCCAACACAAGTACTTCTCATATTTTTGGAGAGACGTGCATTATAATAAAACATTGTATTTTATTTTCTTTTTTAATTGGCAAAATTTCTCTAGAATAGAACGCACCTGAAGGCCTTTCTACTCTTTCACAAGATGGTCCGGCATTTAAAGCTGCCTTTACGCCAGGCTGTTGAAACATAAATGCAAGTTACAGAGGAAGAAATAACTGTGAGATTCAAATTACAAATCAAGCAAGTCTCACCCTTTGTCTTGAACCAGCGCCAATCTGAGGGTACTTCAATATTGTCCAGTCAAATACATAGTCAAACTGATAGCCTGCACAAGCAAACCATGGCAAGAGGGGAAACATGAAAAAGGCCTCCTTATTTCTGTAAAATAAAAATATGAACAACATTTATGAAGAATATTAATAGAGAAAATAACCTAATTTTCTATTATATTGGATGCATGGAGTTATGTTCTTAATTTTTAAGATCATTATTATCCCTTTCAGTTTAGACTGAATTCTAACTAATAACTCAACTCAACCAGGTCCTGTCCCAAATATTTGGCCAGCCACATGAATCATGTTTCACATTCTACTTTAACTCCATGACTTCAATTAAACCACAACCCTTACATGTATCTTGCTACTATCTAAACACACATGATGATCCTGGTTTTTCACTTCCCTAACATTATGCTCAATATGGATCAAGTCGCTCTTCCTCACCAGTGCAATGATTTTTTTTTTCTTTATTTATGACCAAAATATCTTAGTTGATTTTCTCACAATTTATCTCTGAAGAGTGACAATTCAATTATCTCCAAAAGCACTTAATTCCAACTTTATTTTTTCTTTTTTTATAACACATTTCTCAGCATCTATATTTCAACCATTTTCATTTAGTAAATATGGTTTTTTGTTTCTTAGTCCCTAATATTTTGCCACACAATATATGGGGGTTTAGAGTCTTCCTTGTAAAATTTATCTTTCAATTTAGAGGTATACATTTTTTTTCCCCCTAGTTGGTACTCACACACACCCCTCCAAGGAATTGTTTGCATCCAAGAGGAGTCAAACCTTAGACCTGATAATTTAATGGTATACATTTATCATTACGACATAAGAGAAATACTCCATTAAATCAGTCGAACTTCTAATTTTATGAGCAATGTCATCTCAAATCTCTCCCTCTCTATGAACCACGAGTCCAAGTAAAGGAACTATTTCTTTATAAGCATCTCATGGCCCTTGATTTTCACTACATTCCCAATTGTGTTTTTAGTTTTGGAAAACTTACATTCATATATTTCATTTTACTCACTTATCAAAAAAAAAAAAATATATATATATATATATATATATTTCATTTTACTCCTATTTATTTTAAACCCTCTTCATTTTAGTGCTTCTCTACAAGTCTCTAATTTAGCACTTATTCAAACTTTAGTTTTGTCCATCTAAACAATATCATCAACAGGTATCATATGTCATGGTACCACATCCTAAATGTGTTTTGCCATTCATCACTAAGACAAACAAAGGACAAGGGCTAATGTCAATTCCTGGTGCAAGACTACAATTACTAAAGTTCATCTTTTCTTTTAAATTATACTTACTATAGTCACAATCCATTGTACATGTCCAAACTCCAAAACATCTATTTGTGACTCATTTCTTTTAGAAAACCTGTGGACATTGCTTAGTGCAATGATGAAATCAATGCAAAATAAAGACACTAATTCGAGTTTGAGAGCAGCAACCACTTTATAATAATATCAAATGTTAGGTCTATCTCCATTTTTTTCACCCAAAAACTTGCGTATGCGAGACTCGTATTGGAGAATCTCCTTTTTCTTCTCTAAATCCCACCATATTATTTTATTCTATAAGAAAATCTTCATTGAGAAACGCTTCAGAGGGGAGCGCACCCAAAAGAACGGGATAAAAGAATTACATCTCTACGTTCTCTAGCAATCCATAAAATCAAGAAAATCCTCTATGGATTTACAAACACTCCATGTAAGTTGTAACCCATAAAAGTAGAGAGCTCATAATATGGTGCTTTATTACCCATATCGGAGCTTCAACACCCTCAAAATACCTCATATTTTTCTCACACCAAAACCCCACCAAATACAAAGAGATCTGGCCCTTCATGCAGATTCAGCCTGGCTTCCCATTGTACACCCCCTCCTAGCCTCGAGCAAACCTCTCAAAGTGCGATCTACCGCTTCTTGCCCTATGTTAGTAATGGTCCTGGTACTCGCCCCTTACCTGGACAACAGAGAGCTTTTTTCTCTCAGATGGGCAGTCAAATTGAAGTTGTGATTAGCACTTCGCATTCTGTCAATCAGTTTCGGAGGTAGAAATCGGCATAACCCACTGCACTCCAGAAATCGCAAAGAACAGAGCCCAGACATCCCTAGCCACTAGGCATTGTAAAGGAAAATGGCTCATCATCTCCTCATCCCTCTTACATGTGCAGCACCAATTGATAACAATATGTCACCTTTTCTTCAAATTGTCGAGCATTAATATCCTCCTAAGAACCGTTGTCCAACCAAAGGAGGTCACTTTGAGAGGAACTTTTGTTTTTCCAAACGGCTTTCCACGTGAAGATAGCATTTTCTTAGTTACTCTCTCCAAACTTTCATAGTATAACTCATTAGTTAATATAGCTATAATTTGTCAAATTCAATTCTCCACACTCATCAAACATTCTCTTGGTCACTAAAGTAGACATGACACATTCCCATAAACATTTACAAGCTTTATTGAAATGTCATTAGATCCAAAAATTGTTCCTTTCATATTCCTCAATTTATTTTTTATCTCATTCCCCTGGTTATAAGAAAAAGAAAATTTTATTTTCTAATTTTTAGAAGGTGAATATTTTCCTAAACCTAAATATATAGTTTTCATTCAACTACTTCTTAAAATAACTTTTCCGTCTCTGTTCAATTTTATCATATTTCACCAAAACCCTTAGATCCTCCCAATCTTGAAGCCCCTGATATAACAAATATCTACTTTCATTCTCCCTTAAGTTTGCATACATTCCCTTCCTCATACTTTTTACCCTCCTAAGAATATCACTCAATTGTGTTCACTGTGTAGCATCTCTCACTACTATTTTTACTTCCTTTTTTGTTTATTTTTATTTTTCATCATAATTACCTTTTGGACAAATTCTTATATTGTTTTTAGTACGGTTTAGACATCATCATTCCTCCACCAAATTTTCTTTGATAATGACTCCTTTCAATTTGATTACCGGAGCACCATCTTTGATATTCTTTTAATACATTAACCCATTCTATTCACATTTAACTAATTTCATAGTTTATATTCCATGTTACGTCTTTTAATATCTAATCCTTATATAGTTCTACTCTCATCATTGAAGTTCCACTACATAGTTCTTAAATTTCTAATAATCATTTTTTTCATTAATTGTTTCTTAATGTATACGGATGAAACTGTAAACCAATATTCAGATGTTAAGCTCTCTTATAGAATAACCTTATAATCTTTGCATGTTAGTTGATCCGCTCTTCTCGTACGAAAAGTCAATCCGACTCCTAATTGATACACTTTTGAAGGTTATTAAATATTCATGTATTTTATAAATAACTAGTTATTCACTATCGAAAGATTAAATGCCACTGGGATGACTTGAATATCTTTCCTAGTGTCATTCCTATCTCCAATTTGTTTCCATCATTCTCCATCTCAGAATTTCCAGTCTTTTCTTCAAGGACTACTAGAGTCTCATCCTATCTATAAATTTTTTTATTTGGGTATTCCCTAAATCAATTTATTCATATATTCCTTAAGTTATGGTTAAATGTGTTTGTCTAATCCTACTTGAGGTGCAAAACACTAATAATGTTAACCATATTGTCTCTCAATACAAATTTCATTAATATTATCCTATCCCATTTTTTCATAAAGGTAATGTCCTCTTTTAAATTCTTCCAACCATTTTCCCTACTTCATTCTATATTTATCATTTTCAATGTAAAGTCTATACCCGATATTTTCTACATGCCATATTAATGTTGTGTCTAATAATAGTGTCTACCAATTCCATCCCTTTACCTATCAATTTACTACATTACAAGTTCCTATTCTAAGTCTAATATCTTGGATAAACTTCTTCATCCACAAGCGGGAACCCATTTATCAGTCAACCCCAATCCAATACAGAAATGCCACTTATTCAAAACATGAGCGCACACAAAAGAACAATAGAAAAAGTGAAAAAATATTTAAAATGTAAATAATAAACTGAATTTGGGTTGACCAAACTAGGGAACCTGACCTGAAATGTGTCCATAATAATTGATGCTCAATTAATCAATTCAGTGCAGATTAAACAGGACAGCTTTGACTTTTACTCTAGCTTTTAACAAAATGGTAGTGTCAGATTAAAGGATATAAGACCATTTTTGTAGATTTAATTGTCTTACACCGTAAAGATTCCAAGTGATATATCGTAAATATTCTTAAAATCAAAAGAAATTTATTCTGATATTGCCATAACATACAATTATAAGACATTGTACATGCATATGAATAGGGATCTAGTACACCCATCCAAGTCAATCTTCAATGCCATAGTTAAATACTAGATGATACTGGTCTACCTTTGTCCTGGTGGCTTTGGGTCTTAACTCCCAAGCCCTAGGTCAAGGTTTCAAGACTGGAGAGGAGAGAGAAAGGAAAAAAAAAATACTAGATGATACTCACCATCCTTGATATGGCCTAAAACTTTGTAGTAATACAAACCGGTGCATGTTGAAATCAAAACATTCTAAAAGAAAATTAGGACCACTAAATTTGGTAGAGGCATTCATATTGATGAAGAAAATGTTTCCCTTTTGCTCTCTTTTTCCTTTTTTTAGGTGGTTGGGGCTTGCGGAAGAGGGCAACTCGATGATTGCTTACATCAAATACCATCGACTTAAATATGGACAAAGAAATTTGAGTAAAACCTCTTAGATTACCTTCTCGAATAAACAAGTCCCGAAAAAGTCTCTTCAGATATGCATAATCTGGCTTGTCCTCAAACCGCAGTGATCGGCAATAGTGGAAGTATGATGTGAATTCTGGTGGATAGGACTTGCAAAGGCCCTGTTTAAGAAACTTTAGTATCTTGCAAAGGACCTGCTGTTTATTGTATGCTATATTTGGTCTACTAATAACTGAACAAAAATGGATGATTTCAATCCTGGTTGCCGAATGAAACTTTATATAGAAGATTCACCATAGAGAATTGAAATTAATGAAGGCAACTTGCAGTTCACAAAGTAATCTATTGTCATACCTCTATTGGTGTGAGCATCTTCTTTTCACTGATCTTATCATATTTCTGCTTCTTTGTACCCGCTTTTAATCCCTGCCAGGGTAGGCTGATGCCCAGAAATACAATACAACAAAACTCAGGTCAATAATGAATAAATTAACATACTAAACAAGTAGAAAATAAAAATAGAATAAAAAAAAAAGAAAAATTAAGGGTGAAATAAGCAGTATTTCAACCTTCCCCTGAGGAAATACATTAGTACATAACCAAGAGATTCCAGATCATCTCTTCTGCTTTGTTCTGCAAACAAAGCAAAAAAAAAATTTAAAATCGAACATAATGCCTAATTTTAATAACTTAGTATAACTGTTATAGCACTTGCCAACTCCAAGGTGAGTGTTAACGCTAGCATAACGAGCAGTGCCTGTAAGGTTTTTGTTTTCCCTGTGGAAATATATACAAAATTGATGCTTAAATACGCAGCTCCACATATGTGCACGAATGCACCAATAAAATAAGAAGAAATGGCATAAAACTGAATTCATGTAAACTTTCAAGTAACAACAATATAAGAAAGTTAATGAAACATTAAATCCATGTCACATGTGTGTGGGTGTGTGTGTGTGTGTGTAATTTGGTAAGTACTAAATCCATGTCAAATACTTTTAGAATTTCAGAGAAAAAGAACATTCACCCAGCAAAGGGTCCAGTACAGATTCATGGCAATGAAACATTGTCATTCTATATTCCAATAGTGATTCTAATGGAAGCTTTAATTAATATATAAGAAGATGTGCCAAAAGATTTCAGAATTTGAACTGTGTAGATCAAAGATATGACCTATGATCCATGAAAGATACAGCTCAAGTAATTCTTAGGTCCACATCTTGCCTATCAAATATATATATATATACACACACACACACACACACATACATGGTTAATTATCAAGATGCTTAGGAAGTGAGTTTTACAATGGAATGATCATGGAGATTATTGATGCATGAGTGAGCTGCTGTAATAGTACACAGAAGGGAGAAAAAAAGAAGTAGAAGCATTCCTCTGACAAAATAATAATACAATCAATTAACTTATCAAGGCCAAAACATATCATCAGTAGAATTAGAGACCACAGAATTTTGGTTAAGAACTGTCTAGAGTGCCAATTATTTTGTGTATGCAAGGAAAACCATGTAAAAAGAACAATCTTACAAAATGAAACAGAAATTACACATTAATAGACCACATACCAACCACAACGTGGCATGTTACAACCCAAAAAGAGCCTTAGCACGTTATCTTGTCATCAAAATAGAAAACTATGAAGCACGGTCCACACAAAATTGAGAAGTATGAACAGAGAAACAAAACAAGCAACAAGAACTGCAGAAAATCATGATGAAGTTTCTTCTTCTAACTTATAATCTAAAATGCAATGCAACGTAGAAAAGAATCAAAGGTAATACCTGTATGGTATATGCTTATGAGTTTGAAGATCCCTATACTTCTTTGCAAGGCCATAGTCGATGACGTACACCTATGGTATGATCAGCAAACAGAGCACAGATTTAGAAAATTATGAAGCAAATCCCAGATAACCACACAATTTAAAGCACATTTGATACAAAGATTCCGTCTCTTAATAACTTCTGAATCCATAAGCATGCACAAGTTCAGAAACCTACCAATAGTTACAATATGAATTCGGCAATAGTTTCATCATGTAAAATTAACAAGATCAATCTCCTAACAAGACCCACTAAACAAATAGATCCATCATGCGTAAAGACTATCATGGGTTCAGGGTGATAATTAAAAGAGAGAAGGTATAACACACGATATGATGGAACTCCTAGGTGCACTGGGCTACAATAAAGTCAAGGTTGACTCACTAGAGAAAGAAAGGGAGAGAGAGTAGCCATCAAAGCCACCAAAGACTCCTCAAATCAGGGACTTGTTGAGATAAGAAATGAGATATCTTGAGGTATGGTCATGGTAAGACAATCTCAAGTTCTAACTGAAGTGACGCAAATGAGATAAGGTCCGGATACAGTCCTTTTTTCTCTTTTTACCTCTAAGTTGTATGATGAGGGTATATTCATAGTCAAGGGGAACAAGGCAGTGCTTATGCCGACACGACAGTCAATAATCAGATCATATTATACTCACCTATATGTCGGGCCTATGGGATGCCTCCACATGCACTAGGGTTGTCCAATTAGAACTAAAGGATCAAGCGAATCCGGACCTTATCTAATACGCTTAGAAGAAGAATCTCTTTGTAGAGAGGGAGTGGCATTGCTGCTATAGGATAGGCAAAGGAATCTTCGAAGAATCAACCAATTCCCTGCAACCCGACCAAGTCACAACAAAATCGGTCGGAGGCCATACTGAGTCGTGTTGATATCTCAGTGGGAACAAAAATCATGACAGACTCGACTAGTTCTCTGAAAGACTTGGCCGGTTCTTTGAAGACCCATCTGGTTTCACTCTCCCATTTTCACTCTATCTTGCAGGAAAAGAATTGGATGTAACTTGTTTCAATTTGGAACCTTGTGATCATGATGTATAGTTCCAAGTTTTTATTAGTTTCTGTAACTTAAAGTATGAGGATGCACTTGATCAGTTCATGTTGCCTGCTTACATTGTTTAGTGAGTTTGAAAATTGAAACCGTGCTGAGTCCAATATTTTGTGTACCCTGTCCAAGTATCAGGACTTATTCTAGATGAGAGCCCCATCCTGGCCCCTATACACACATGCACATCTGATACCCATATTCTTACCATATAACATTAGTGATACGTACATAATAATTTCTTAATAAGGAAATATGAGCACCTCACTAAATCAAGTACCTGATTTGCTTTGCGTCCCAACCCCATTAAAAAATTGTCAGGTTTTATATCGCGGTGAAGAAAACCCCTCGAGTGCATGTACTCGACTCTGTTAATCTATAAAATAAGATGGACAAAACAGTCACAAACGGAAGCAAACAGACCTGACCAAATAAGTTATTGAACAAAAGTTACAAAACTTACTAACTGATCTGCAAGCATCAACACTGATTTCAAAGAGAGCTTCCGGTTGCAATAGTTGAACAAGTCTTCAAGACTTGGCCCGAGAAGGTCAATAACCATGACATTGTACTCTCCCTCAACTCCAAACCACTTTAGGTGGGGAATTCCCGCTTCATTAAAAGCAATAAATCAGAAAAATATGAATGTATATATAACGTGAATTTATCATTGTAGTTGCAACTTAATTTCATTTCAAATTCTTCCGAATAATAGAATTAAAACATGTTTCCACTTTCCAGATGAGCCAAATAACAAGATTCAATTCATACATAATGTGAACATATCATTGTGGTTGTAACTTAATCTCATTTCCAAATTCTTCGAACAATAGAATTAAAACATGTTTCCACTTTCCAGATGAGCAAAATGACAAGATAAACTTACTTCCTCCTTGTAGAAGCATGTACAATTTGGACTCGTAGTGAAGCTGAGGGTGCTTGGACTTTACAGATTCCTGAGAATTCCAAAACACGACAATGAACATGCTAACAGCATTGGAACAGAGATGACAAGTGTAGAACATATAATGAAGAAACATGTCTCCACAGAAATAGAGCAAAATTACGTAAAACAGCATAAAAGATGTTTTTTCTATTGGAATTCCCTTTTTCTCCTTGGCACATGGATTTTCAAGGTTCAATTTCTTTCAAAGCATTTCAGGTTTATGTTTTCTTCTTATTCTTCCTCAACCCACTCTAAAAAAGAACGGTAAATATTTAGCAGTTCAGATGAGAATTTTTACTCTCTTGATGGGAGTTGAACATGATTTAATCATTCCTTGCCAACATCTTATTGTATATGTCCATCTTCAATATCCATTTAAGGTTGAAATATATGGAGAAACTTCAAATAAATTTCTTTTATTATGGGAACACACAGTGAACAAATTTATCAGGAAAAAAGAACACAGTGAACATGTTGAAGGGGCCACTCCTTGGTGCAATGGTAAAAACTCGGGCTGATAAACGTGAGGAAGCAGATTTGACTCTGAGAGCAGCAAATCTGGGGCAAAATAGTACAAAATCTTAGATCTGACTGCAAATTTCCTCCTAGTACCCTGTGTAATGGTAGTGAACTGCATGGGGAAGATGGCAAAGTAGTCTGGTTTATAATCCTTCATTAAAAACTGGCAAAGGTCAATGTATCAAAGATTTGGTTTCAATAAACTAAGCTTTAATCAGCAAATCGAGTGGAGATTTTCTCGTGAGCAGTGTAGTTGTATATAAGCAGTGCTCTAGGATAAAGTACAGGCCTCAACTCAATTCAAACAAAAAGTTGACTAATGATTTGGAATCGGTTATAAGAATCATGTTTAGATATTATATTCCGATCATAGTCATGTAATCAGTTAAACGACCAACTACTGTGTTTTTCCTTACTATCCCGACCAATGCTAATTTTGATCCTTCCCCTCTTTAACATTACCCCAAAATAGACATGTTATTTTTCAGTTAATAGTCTTCGCTGCACAATTACACCTCTATTGTGCCAAGAGTATTATCTATAAACAGATGTCTCAAAGCTGAAAAATGAGGAATGTTGCATAAGGAAGCTGCAAGACAGCATAATGTAAACTTGAATCCTGAAATAGTCGATTAAATACAAGGGGCGGTCCTATTAAACCATATATTGTATCAACTTTTGGTGCTTCAAAAAAAGGCAAGGGGCGCTGCATTAATGACCGGACACACTGAAAAATAGGCAAGTATTCCCATATTATTTTGGAAAAAACTATTTGCAAGCAATATTTTATTTTTAAGAGAATTGAAGATAAGTATGACCAAATTTGAATATGTGATGGAACTTTAATAAATCTAGAGATAAAAGTAAGTATGTTTCAAAAATCAAGGGTTGAGCCTTATTGGGAAAGAAAAAAAATTTGAGGGTCAAGCATACTAAAAAAAAATTATTATTTCGTAACCGGAACTGGATTACGCACAGAGAGTAAGAGATTGAGATGATATTCATAGAGTTATAGCATCATAAATTAAATGGAGGAGCTTTTTTTGGCATATGATAATTACCTCTAAAATATAAAAATAAATTATATACAAGAGTTATTAGACTAACCATACTTCATGTGACAAAATATTGAGCAAGTAAGAAACAACACGCTTACATATGAGCATTGCCGAAATGCAAATGTGAGATGGATGTATTCTAATATAAGAAATGAGAAAAAAAAACTATTACACAAATGATTAAAAACTATTACACAGACACGATAAAGATCATTACCCAACATACTTTTTGAGGGTCATGGAAGGGGTCTACTAGGTACATACCTAACTTTTGGCTCTATTTGCACAAAGTGACTGCTCTTAGACTCGAATCTCTATTCTCATGTTTAGAAATTTGATCTTTTACCACGTAATGTTAGGGATGTGTGAAGTAGTTGCAATTGCAAGAGAGGTTTCATTATTAAAATGAACAAGTAGTTCACTGGTGAAACATTTTTTATACAATAATGCAAGCGGAAGTATTGAAGCTTGGGTACCATATATATGTTTAGCTCTTGATGTGCTAAGGGACTCCTTCACTATTTTGGTCTTAACAAGAAAACAGAGTGAACAAATGAGAGTTATTTTTTTCTTTTTCTCTTAAAGACAAGTAGCGGCTCTCATATTTGAACTTGCGTCATCAAGCATGTCTATATGAGCTTTAACCGTTCCATAAAACAACTACCCCAAGAATTCCATGTGGGCTAGACTTAAACCAAGTACGTAGAGACAATTTTTTTTAGCAAAAGTGTCCCATGCTTTGGAATGTACACCCAATAATATTGCTATGGTATCAGCATTTTCTAGAGAATATGCTTCTTAAGTTTCTACCTAATTAAAAGTTCAGAAACTAGCTTCAAGGGATACATTATCCTTGAAGAGATTTTATAGAGTTAAGTCTACCTATTTTGAGTTTCTTTTGGAAGACTTCATTTTAATATTCATATTGTTGAAAGAAAAAGCCACCCACACTTCATAATTCCAATTACTTCTTAAAATATCGTCTGCTCATTAAAAAGAAGAGTTCACTGATGCTTGCGTGGAAGCCCCGCTAGCAAATGAAATGTCGATCGTTCTAACCTAAGATGTCATTTGATCATTTCTAAATCCTAATCATATATCTCCATAAAATGATTAATCTAATTGCTGCATTTCTAATTTTTTGTGGAGCAGTGAGGATTATGTTGCAACTTCACTCAATTGCACAAAACCAATACACAACCAACACTTCTTTTTATCTCACATCCACTATATCTGGGGTCTGAGGCAGGGTCTCCTATTAAAGCACTTCTTTTTTCTTTTCTTTTCTTTCTTTTTTCGTCTTTTAACTTTTATGGATACCTGCTTTGATCACTGACAGGGAAATTGCACAAACAAATCCATTTACTAATAATCATGAATGCTAAGTAATTTAAAATGATCATACAGGCATAGAAATTGTAGAAACAAACCCTTGTGTTCTTTTTGTTATTGTTTAGTCTATAACTGCAACATTGGAAAATTTTACCCATGGAATCTACATTTGAAATTACTTACCGGAAAAAAATTTTAAAAAAAAATCTACATTTGAAATTGACAGCATGTCTAACATGAACACTGAATTGCATGGTAAGTTTGTTAACATACCAGCTTAACCGCAACTTCCTCTCCATTCTGTGTATTAACACCTGAACAAATCAACCCACGGAAGCACATTAAAGTTCAGAAAGTTGATTTACAAAAACTATCACAACACCAAAATGAAAATCATTAAAGCTTCAATAAGGTACTGAATTTACATACCCAGATAAAGCTCACCGAAAGATCCACTCCCAATCTTCCGACCCAGCTTGAATTTTCCACCAATAACATGATCCATAGTCAAACCGGTCCAAACTCCAAACCAAGTTCTACTTCTGCCACAAACCCTATAACCCCAACTTCTTCACCCAGCTAGATCCAAACCCTTCAACTCATTCACACCCCATTCTTTCAAAATTCCCCAGTTTCACAATGCCAATTGAGCAAGGTCTAGTAATCTTGTCCAACCAACCCAACAACAAATTCATCAAAACAAAGTCTCACAAACAATTTACAACAACATTGAACATTTAACAACATACATGTATATAACCCTCAAACCCACCAGATCTCCTTGCAACAGCCACTCGTATCCCCAAAAACTCCCCACCCGAACTGAATGACTACAGATCTACCACATTGCTCATACACAAGAAGATTCAACAGAAGCGGAACAAACTTGTGATACAAATAAATATTTCACAAACTATGAAGATGAATCAAAATCCACGATGAATAATAAAATAATTCAAGAACTTCACAAGAGTGTGAACGGAATGAGCTAAATGACAACGAAAATTAGGCTGATGATGATGATAAAGAGAGAGAGAAGGGAGGTGGAAAATGTAAGATAAGAGAAAGTTGGTGTGAATTTTTTATTTATTGGTGATTGATTTTTATACTCCTTGCGTGTTTTGTAGAATCAAGGGAACAAATATAATATTAATTTAACCCAAAAGAAAACAAAGGAAAGAAAAGAAGAAGGGAACAAATGTATATGTGTGTGTATGACTGTGTGTTGTGGTCTTTCCTTTTCCCCTTCGTTCCTCGTTTTTTATTGAAGAAGTGATGAAGAGAAAGGGTACTCTCTCTCCATCTCTCTCTGTGGCTCGGCCCAGTGCGTAAAAAGGTAATGTGTAAAAGAGTCACGTGCCGGAGCCTGTAATTTATCCATACAAGGTCGGGGACGGCACGTGAGATGCAATCCACACCAAATATATCTATATATTATATTAATATATATCTATATATACACTATTAAAGAGTGGCATATCTTTTTCTTTGAATGAAAGTACAAACTCACCGACAGCATAGTGTCGACCCAGGCACAGCTCCTTTTGAATAGAGTATGATAGAGCCCCGCAATGGCACGAATTGTTTCAATAACACATAGTATGGAGTATTACATAAGCGATTTAAAATAATTATGTACTTCATATAATATTAATGCAGTGGCACAAGACATCTTGTGTCACTTGGGCTTCGTTTGGATACATAGGAGAGAAAAGAAAAGAAAAGAAATGATTACGAGAGAAATGAAAAGAAAAGAAAAGAAAAGAAAGTAAATGATAGCTATAATGTTTGGATTGATAGGAAAGAAAAGAAATGAATTGATAATATTGTTGTTTAGATAAGACAAATGAGAGAAAAGAAAGGAATTGACAATAATAAAATTACCATCTTACCCTTTCTTTTTAGGGTTGGAGGGCAAAATCAGATCAGCCTCCTCCATCTCTCCATTCTCGTTCTCACTCCCCCTCACTGTCTCTCTCTCTCTCCTCTCTCTCCCTTACTGCAAACTACAGAATATACAAAAATATATTAATGTCAAGACCCATATCGGCTCTCTCTCTCTCTCTCCAACTGCCAACTACAAAATCTACCAAAATTAGAAGATCAAAACCATATTTCCATAATTGTTGATTTCACTTTTGTTGATTGGGCATCGTCTTCTTCGATTACTGGCAGACAAGGCTGTAGATTCATCTTCCTCCTCCGCGGCAACTAAGAAGCCTGTTAGCGAAGAACCCAAAGCTTACCACATTCGAACCCTAGCTTCCGTCCTCGGCAGGTTTTAATCTCTCTCTATATAAGGGTTTTATTTTAATTTTTTTTTCTAAAATCAACTAATCAAGGTCTGTAATCAACTTCCGGCGACTTTTCCGACGATCTCTGCAACTTCCAGCGACTTTTTCGACGATCTCTGCAACTTCTGGTGACTTTTCCGGATGGGCTCCAAACGTCATTTGCTCCTTTTCTCTCCAAATCCCTCCAAATCCTGTCAATTTTGGAAGGATTTGGTTTTACTGTTTTGGAGAGATTTTGAGGGATAGGCTATCCCTCCAAATCCTTCCCATTCCTTTCTTTTCTCTCTAAAACCCTCCATCCAAACACACCTATCCCTATCCTTCCCTTTCTTTTCTCTCCAAAACCCTCTAAATCCCTCAATCCAAACGAGGCCTTGAGGATTCGGCTACGCCTACCACACTCCGATGCCTTCGACTTATCAAATTAAGAGGGAAAGGAAAAAATAACTCAAAATAATATATCAATCAATAAGTAGAAAAAAAATAGTTAACAAAAATCCTAAAAATGAAAGAAAAATGAGAGAAGGGAAAAAAATTAGACTTTGATTCAAAAAGGAAATTTTGACTTTTTTTTAAAGGAAATTAAACGAATTTAAAGAATAACAAAGAGAAGAAATACAAAATTTATTAGATAATTTTAGAAAATAAAAGTTTTAGGGGAGCATTATATGAAATTTTTTCATATATCTTGTAAAAATATATAAATTTAGTATATGTATTAAAGCAAGTAGGGCAGGCCAACACTGGCTCCGCCCCTATCTATGGTCCCTCTCTCTTCCGGAGTTGGGCGTTGAGGGTCACAGTTTTAAGCTTTATGTTTCTCTAAAAGTTGTGGCAGAGTAACATTGTACATCTATCCTACTAAATTATTTTTGGAAAATACTTACCTACTCACTGGTGATTAGGCAATTTATACTCACCGCGTATGTGACGCAATGTTAAACTGAAAGTGTTCTTATATTATAAATAATTAAAAATAAATAATTTGATAGCTATTGGGTTAAACCCAAATGGATTCGAATCAAATTCTAATTCTCTCTCTTCTCCCTCTTTTTCACGCTTCTATCACGTGAAAGCCCTAATTTCATCCGTTCTATTCCTCTCCCCTTCTCTCTCACTCATATTTTTACAGAGTTGGAGGATATGCAAAATCTGCAAATTGAAGTCCGGTAAACAGCAATGTAATAACAAGAGATTGAATGATACCATCATCAGAAAATCGAACATGATACGCAATCAAGAGAAGATTATATTTATTTACAGAAGTTTATACCCAATAATCAACGTATTCAGCCTTTCTATCCAAGTGGTAATATGCATCATCCTCGTTGTCCTTTTTCATGAACTGTCACTCCTCCATTGAATTCATACTCCCAACTCTATAACAATATAATTGAGTTTAGCGATCAGACGGACTTTGATTTGTATCTTCAACTGAAATGAGAATACAATCCTTGATGACCGCGTAACCGAGGACAGTCATGGGTAATTTTTCCTCCTAACCCTGAAACTGATGAGGTACTAAAGAAGAATCCCACTCTTGATCATCATCATGATTAATAGTAGTATAAGCGCGAGAGAAATAAAGGGAGAGGAACAGAACGGATGAGATTAGGGCTTCCATATGATAGAATCGTGAGAAAAATGAAGAGGATGGAGAATTATAATTTGATTCGGATTCATTTGGGTTTAACCCATATAACTATCAAATTATTTATTTTTAATTATTTTAAATATAAAAATACTTGTCAGTTTAGCATGTTGCGCCACATACGTAGTGAGTATAAGTTTCCTACTCACCGGTGAGTAGGCAAGTATTGTTCATTATTTTTTAAAAATGTTTATTTGTTTATTCATTGGTAATAAATATACTAACACACCTACACTTTTGCCCTTATGAGAATTTTAACACTCAACCTTGTACTTCGGAGGCGGAGGTAGGCTAAAAGGCCCTTGGCCATTGGTATTATATATTAATGTTTGAGGGTAGAAATTTGCACCTTAAGATTGAACTTAAGGGAATGTTATTCGAAACTTTTTAAGTAAATTATTTTCCTTCTGATGATAAGTTATATAGAAGTATGACCAAGGAGAAGGTGTGTGTATACACACACACACACACACACACACACACACACATATATATATATATATATATTATTACTAAATGTGCAGAGAGTTTTACTATTTCAGTAATTATTTATTAATATAAAAAAAAATTACTTAAAAATTATTTAAAGAGTTTAATTCAAATTACAAATTATATAATAAAATTCATAAAAATAAATTTAAAGAGTTTAATTCAAATTACCTAATAAAATTAATTTTTCTTGTCCCATATTAATTTTGAGTTATAAAGGATTACATGGAAGCCTCTTATAAAACTATAGACCTAAAGAAATATTAATCACACATTTCTCGGTCTTTTGGCTAACCTTTCTCGGCCTTTTCAGTCTATACTATTATTAAATTACAAAATTTTTCTCCTAGTATTATTAAATTACAAATTAATTTAAAGAGTTTAATTCAAATTACAAACTACTTTATAAAATTCATTTTTCTTGTCTCACATTAGTTTTGAGTTATAAAGGATTAATGGAAGCCTCTTATAAAACTATAGACTTAAAAAAATATTAATCACACCTTTCTCGGCATTTGGCTAACCTTTCTCGACCTTTTGACTTAGATTAAGTACAGTACTAAATTTCTTTGGGTCGGCCTTTCGGCTAACCTTTCTCGACCTTTTAACTAAGAGAGTTTCGGTATTTATTTATTTATATATATATAAAAAAAGATTTTTATAAATAAAAAAAAAATTATCTAAAAATTATTTTAAAAGTTTCATTCAAATTACAAATTACCTAATAAAATTCATAAAAATTAATTTAAATAGTTTAATTCAAATTACAAATTACTTAATAAAATTTATTTTTATTGTCTCACATTGGTCTTGAGCTATAAAGGATTACATGGAAGCCTCTTATAGAACTATAGACCTAAAGAAATATTAATCACACCTTTTTCGCCCTTTTGGTTAACCTTTCTCGCCCTTTTGGCTAAGATCAAGTGTAGTACTAAATTTTTTTAGGTTGGCCTTTTGGCTAATCTTTCTCGGCCTTTTGGTTAACCTTTATCGACCTTTTGGCTAAGAGAGTTTCACTCTTTCAGTTTATACTATTATTAAATTATAAATTAATTTAAAGAGTTTAACTCAAATTATAAATTACCTAATAAAATTAATTTTTCTTGTTCCACACTTGTTTTGAGTTATAAAGGATTACATGGAAGCCTCTTATAAAAATAGACCTAAAGAGCATCAATCATTTTCAACCATAATTTGGCATCCCTAGTAAAGTTATAGGTAGCCAACATAATCTTCACAGAATCATTTTCAACTGCCAGAGCATCAATATGCTTTTCCACCTGGTCAAACCAATCATCTGCCAACAACGGATCAGTCCCACCTTCAAACAGTGTAGGCACGAGCCTGACAAATGTGGAGATAAGTTTGAGACGTCTTTTTGTCTCATTTTCCCCTGTAGACATCACCGGCGGTGGCAAACCTCCCTGTCCCATAGGGTGAGATGCAGGACTCTCCCCAGACCGTCCAACTGCAAGCCCACTCTCTTGGCCTCTCGGTGCCTTGTCCTTCCTACGAGGCGGCATACTACAATGAAATGCACATCAATAACAATGTCACTATCCACAGTCCCAAACTGACTCATATGAATAAAAGCCATAAAACCTATAGCATGCTTTGTCGTAATCAACACATAATCACATATTCACATAAGCATGCTTACAAGACAAATACCAGATAAGCATGTAAGCATATAAGACAATGAAAGCCCCTACACACACAGCTGTAGACAGACCTCTACCCGTCGTCCTTAGGTTATAGAAACCATACTCTGATACCATAATTGTCACGCCTCTAGACCGTAGTCCGGATTGTGAACACAACACATAAATAATCACAGTCTCAAAATCACTAAATATCCCTGTAACCTGTCTGAACCACACATCCACCTATCTATTTCTCTTTATAAAATCAAGACTGAAAATAAATAGATAAGATGCAAATATTAAAACTTTAAAGTTTTAAAGTCTGAAAAAAAATTTATTACATGCAAGGAAAATTCTAGGAAATATAATACAAAACATAGTTTATTATGCGGAATATAACACAACAACACCAGCCCCGACTCTGTCTACAGCTGAGGAGGAACACCTTCCACACCATCCATGCTATAACCTAAAAAGATATGAATAAAATAGGAATAAGCAACCACAGCTCAGCAGGAATTACCTAAAGCGCACTCCTTAATACCTCCGTGAATCCAAACAAAGAATAGATAAAGGATAATGGGATCATATAAACTCGGGAAAGAAATAATGTCATGTAGGATAATAAAATGAAGTGCCATGCAATGCGGATGCTAATGTTAATGCCACAGACACTTCTCACTTCCCAAAAATCCAATTTCCATCACAAAAAGTTAATGTAATCCGGCCAGAGCTGCTCCCTGTACCACGAGAAGAGAATTGATCATCTATCCCTGATCCAAGGCAACTCCTTGTAATCATTTGGGGCCTAGTGACACAATTATGCGTAGGCAACTCCTACGTCTTCTCTAGATTTCCATTAACTGCACAGACAAGGCAACTCCTTGTCCGGTTTTGAAATCATTGAATCAATCCCACTTTCCTAACTCACGGATACAAGGCACCTCCTTGTTATCCGGTTTTCAAAATCATTTTATTGAACTTTCACTTCCTTTTTCCATTCTAACCTTAACCCCATGACCATGCAAGATGAATGCACATTTGTGTCATGTTCCGAAGTTTCTAAACAGTAAACAGTTCACATGCAGCATGTTATTTCCATCTTTGAAAATTCAAAACAAATTCAAGTATAAGTCAAAGCTAAACAGTAAACAGTTCACATGCAGCATGTTACTTCCATCTTTGAAAATTCATAACAAATTCAATTATAAGTCAAATTGAGTGATTCCAAAGCCTAATGAAAGCTTAAACAATGTACTTTGAGAGTATCAATTTAGTTTAACAAAATCCCTTCCCAATTGGAACAGTTTTGACCCAAAAGTTCGAACTAAAATCTGCCAGAAACTGATTTCCAGCCTGTAGCTTCTATCTTTGAAAATTCATAACAAATTCAATTCTAAGTCAAATTGAGTGAGTCCAAAGCCTAATGAAAGCTTAAACAATGTACTTTGAAAGTGTCAATTTAGTTTAACAAAATACCTTCCCAATTGGAACAGTTTTAATCCACAATTTCGAAATAAAAATCTGTCTGACACTGACTTCCAGCCTGTAGCTTCCATCTTCAAAAATTCATAGTAAATTCAATTTTTGTTCAAATGGAGTGAATCCAAAGGCCACTGAAAGTTAAAAGACTATATTTTTAAGATAAATTTTATTTCATCAAAATACCATACCATCTAAAGCAGGTTTGATGAACAAAACTCGGACAGAATCTGCCCCAACCTAGAATGCCCAGCAAGAACCCTTTAACTTCAAAAAATTCATGGTAAATTCATTTCTCAACCAATTTATGTGAAACCAATTCTCAATGAAAGCTAATTCACTATATTATCATAATATCAACTCATCTCTACATGATAAATTACGAATTTATATGAATTAGAGCAAAATAACAGCATGCAATTTCAGCCAAGCAGTTTCAGCATCAGTTTAGGTTGTTTATACACTTTGCAACTCAAATTGAAAGAGATAACTCACTAAAGGCAAAGGAATTGAGGGTTAGACAATCCTACCTCAAGGGAAGCTTGAACACTTGCTCAACAATTCAAAACCACACCAAAAATGGATCAAAATCAGCAACTAGAAGGTGAAGAACACTTTCCTTCTTTGTTTGCAACCAAAACCCTCTTCTTTTAGCACCACTTTCCAAACCCAGCAACAAAAGAAATGGACTTATGTTTGATATCAAAAGAACCCTCACTATCTAAAGAACATTTTTCCTTCACAAAGCCCCATCAAAATCCCAACACAAAGCTTCCAAAATTTAGCTTTAAAGGTATCACTATGGAAAGGAAATAGAATGCACGAAAATTGGGTTTTGCCAAAATGGTTTCTAAAAACAAAACACTAGGCATACTATATGTTATAAAATGAATGGATATGGTGCAACCACATACACATGCACATGTCATCCCCTCCATGGATTAAAACCAAAATCATAAGAAATGACTCAAAAGTCCTTTTATTTCCTACTAAATACCATTCATGCCATTTGCATAATAAAAGTCAAGAATACCCTTGCACAACTAACCAAATGCCAATTATGCTATTTTGCATAGTAAAAGTCTACTTTGCCCTTGATCAAATTATCAAATACCATGCATTCCATTTGTAAAACAAAAAGTCCATAATGCCCTTTATGAAATACTAATTGACAAATATGTTATTTGCATAATATAGTCTATAATATTTCTTAACACATAATGATGTCTAATTCACATTTGCAAAATAATCATATTTTTGACAATAAAAATAAAATGCATGAATGCTAAAATGTTCGAAAAAATGATAAAAATGCAAGTCCTCACAATTTATATCTATACTATTATTAAAAGTGTAAAGATTTTCACTATTTCGGTATTTATTTATTAATATAAAAAATATTTATTAATTGACATAAAATGAATTAAAATAAAAGAGTTTCTATAAATAAAATGAATTAAAATAAAAGAGTTTCAAATCATTATTAAAACAACTAAAAATAGGAAATTTTTTAATAAAATAATTTACCAAATAATAAAATAAGTTACAAAACATTCATCACGCACATTATGACGACACTGGATTTCCAAGCCTAGTGCATCCTATGATGACCCGAAAGTTGATCCGAAAATGGATCAAAAAATGCAGAAGCGAAAGATAAAACCAAGGTTTCTAGAGATGTACGTCATCCCTAAGACACACACAAATGTGGCTTCTCGAGAGGTCCCGAGACTTAACGGAAGCAAGAAGAAAATGAAGGTTTTGAAACCCTCCAAGAAATGGACCAAAGGTAAAATGGTCATTTCATAGATAAATGGATGCTACCAAGCATACCATTGGAAGGACAATAAAAAATGAATGAAGTTAGACTCAAGAATCGCCTGGATCGGAGTCCGGATGAAAAAGTTATAAAAAAAGAGCAAGGTGGCGTCCTCCGATTAAGAGATACTACGACCCTATCTCACTAAAACTGGTATAACTCTCACTACGGTTGGATTTTTTTGATTTGGTTGGTACCATTGGAAAGCTAACTTCAAGCTATTGAAGTTAAGCTCAAGAATGACCTGATTTTGATAAAAAAAAAAAATGAAGGAGATATAACCATCTAAAGTTGACTCACGAAAGTTGTCCAAGAAATTGAAAAGAAATCAAGGTTCAGAGAGGATCAGCCGGCTGAAACACCCTGTCAAGTATGCAAACTCACTAGAATTCATTACTAAAGGTTATCAGCTGGCTGATGGCTCTTGTCAGCTGACCAACGCAACAGATAGTAGCAAAAAAATTACTGCTGCAATGTGTGGGAAGGTGTTCGGTCCAAAACTAAGGCTATACATGCATCTTATATGATCCGAAACAAGTTTAAAAATGTCCCATGGTCTCATATAAGCATCCAAAGCATTATAAATCAAAAGGAAACTTCAAATCATACTCCAATGCATGAATTTTGCATAAAAATTCATAAATCACCCTAAAATAGTTCTAAAGTCGAAATATACGAGTTTTGTGAGATTTGAACATGCACATAAACGTAAAATGGTAAAGTAAATGGGCTACAATGGCTTACGGCCTCATTACAATCCATTTACAAATTTTGACATACCTAACCTCCAATTTTCACAAAATAGGCTACAATGGCAATACTTAAGTTTTAAAAATATACTTACAAACTTTAAAGTTAATGGCCTTGGCCTCATGTCATACATATAAAATAAGTATAAAAAAAGTTTACTTAGATACACATTACATAATTTAAGGCAAAAATAACATTTTACACCAAAATGAAACTACATGCTAACACTTGCATGTTTTCCAGATTACATTAAATTACTTCAAGGCATCAAAGTAACTTCGGGATGTGATGCATCCCAAAACAAAGTTTTTTTACCTGCAAAATAACCCAAATAACTAGGGTGAGTAATCAAGTTATTCGTAGGATGTGGTGTATGCGCATACCCTATAGTTTCAAGTATAATGCGAACCAAATATAGATCATCACAAGGGTGCATTCCACCTAACGTCTATGTTTTCAAGGTACTCTAAGAGATCATCTCAAGTTATATAAATATTTGAAATGATAAACACATAGCATCCAAGTATACATAAACAAGTACACTAACCGCATTAAAACTAAAATCACCAAATCATAAGCTACAAGAAATCCATGATTAACAACTTGGAATATAATGCGAAATCAAATAATGAAAAGACTAGAATATGTGGCCACGAGACTATACAAGTTATTTCGGGTAATTACGACCCACAAGGTATTACCTAGTGCGCACTATGACTTAGGAAAATTCTTGTCCTCCGTACTAGAGCCAAACCCTAGCCATCAAACATTTCATATCCTTACAAGCTTCCAAAAATCAATAAGTCTATAACATTTATATAATCTCAATGCATGAAACTACTTACCAAGCACAAGTAGGGTGAAACCACACAAACCATGCCCAAAGGTTACATATCTAAAGTGGCAAGTTAATGATACTACACATTACACTAAAGCAATTTACTATCAATGCAGGCCACAATACTAGTCATGCAATATAATAATTTACTTACAAGTAAATACAAGCGCTATATACAAGGTCTTTATACTAAATCTTCAATGAAATTTCTATCACTTAACAATATAAGTACCATCACCAAGAAATTCATAATAGACCCTCAATAAAATCACAAGTATTAGGCAAGTCATTAAACAATAATTTACCTATTCAATTTAATAAATCATATGCATGCTTTAATTCACAATTCCTAAGTCAAGTATAAAAAATCTCTACTTATATGCAAATAGAAGAATTAATAAGGCATGCAATCAATATATATCAAGCTCCAATATATATAAAACCCAAAGAGGATAAACATACAACTACCCCTACCTCAATAGAGAATTGTATCTTTATATTCCAAAGCAACCAAGCTTAAAATGAAAAACCAATCTAGGGTTTTGTAAAGGAGAGTGAGGGGAAGCTAAAGTATTCCAAGTTTTAGGTTCAAAAGTGAGTGGAAAGTGACCTAAATGAAGTCAAAAGCTCTAAGCCAAGCTTTTCCTTCAATGGAGGTTAGGTTGGGGTTTGAGAGCAAAGGGGTGAGGAAGATACAATAAAGTGAGGTGAATGAAGGATTTAGTAAATTCCACTCACTATGTGATCCTACAACATGGTCTTCACACACATATAATACAAGACTAAATATGGTGCCTACACTTGTCACCATCCTAAGTAATCATCCAAGGCTTAATATTAAACCTACACTTGTAACCATTCATGCCAACAAGTGCTCCTATCCTAGGCCAACAAATGGGTGTATCTCCACCCTCCATGCGTCATCATACAAAGCTTTCAAGTGGTTCCATCATAATGTCAACAAGTGGCTTCATGGGAGTGTGACACTTGTCACATTTTTCAAAAATTACAAAAATGTCATTTTCCAAAATATCTTTCCAATTAAGTTGCAAAATGGTCCCTAAGACGAAAAATAATTACTTTACTTAATTACACTAAAATCCCAAAAGTCAAGAATATTATCGAAGAAATTATGCATCTATACCTTTTACAAGAAAAGTAAACATTTAGCATGTTTTTCTACAAAAGTAAAAATATGCATATTATGAAAATTAAATATCATGAATGCATGCAAAGTCGGAATCAAATTCGAGCACAAAAAGTGAGGTTATGCAAATGAAAACGAAAATCGGGAAAAAGACGAAAATGGAAAGGAAAAAAAAAAAAAAAAAAAAAGAGAGAGAAAAATGCCAAAAAAAGAAAAGAGGGAAATGAATGGGTCATTACATGCATCGTAGGTGCCTTTTACTAGTTATTATTAAAAGTACAAAGAGTTTCAGTATTTATTTATTAATATAAAAATAAATTTAATAAAATATTTAGTAACTGATATAAAAAGAATTTTTACTAAAAAAAAAAAAATTATTAATTGATCTAAAAAGAGAATTATCTAATAAAATTCAAAATTAAATAGGCAAAGAATTTCAGTATTACAGTATTTATTAATTAATATAAAAAAATAATAAAAAATTTAGTAAATGATATAAAAAGAATTTTTATAAAAAAAGATATTTATTAATTGATATAAAAAGAGAATTACCTAATAAAATTCAAAATTACAATGTGCAAAAAGTTTCAGCGTTTCATTTTTTATTAATATCAAAAAATATATAAAAAATTTATTATCCAAAAAAAATTTATAAAAAAAGATATTTATTAATTGATATAAAAAGATAATTACCTAATAAAATTCAAATTACCTATTTATCTATTTGTTTCTAAAAAGTCTAACACAAAATAATATTTATTTATAAATATAAAAAAATATTTAAAAAATTTATTAATTGATATAAAAATAATTTTTTAAAAATATATATTATTTAATTGATATAAAAAGAGAATTACCTAATAAAATTCAAATCACAACTTTCAAATTACCTAATAAAATTGAAATTACAAATTACTTAGTAAAATTCAATTTACCTATTTATCTATTTGTTTCTAAAAAAATTTATACTATTAAAAGAGTTTTTATAAAACTCTAAAATAAAATTCAAATTACAAATTACCTAATAAAATTAACATTACCTATTTATCTATTCGTTTTTGTAAAAATCTAACACAAAATATAAAAAAAAATATTTATTAATGGATATAAAAAGAGTTTTAAAATAAATATCTTTTTTTAAATATTCTATACTATTTTTAAAACTGTAACAAATTTCAGTGTTTTAGTATTTCGTATTTCAGTATTTTTTTATTAAAATAAAAATATTTATTAATTGAGATAAAAAAGAGTTTTTAAAATAGTTTCTATAAAACTCTAACATAAATTACTTATTTATCCATTT